CAAGGAACTTTGCTTCATATGAAGCTTCCTATATGTAATGTACTTCCTATATGTTATTACTATGGAGCGGATTTCCACGATTTTGCTTATTTATGTCCATTGTTGGTGCATATTTGTACTTATTGCCCGAGTTTTCCTATTGCTGCATATTCGTGAAAAGTATAAGCGCATTCAAAAACGATTAGTCTTTTCGTAGATTTTTTATTTGTGAGCGTTTATTAGTTAGAAAGAGCATATCACAGTTTGCATTTGTTTTTCTTCTTTTCTAAAAACGATAAAATATTTGTGCAAATTTATGTGTTATGATACGATATTTTTTAACCAGGTAGACGAAAGGCAACGCTCTCCACTTCATTTTGTTAATCACACGGAGATCCTGGAGCGACAAAGGTGGCTCAAGGACTGATGTCATTGCAGTGTCATCGAGAGTCCCGAGAGTGGCAGGATTTTTGACACAGCTAGGTCGAGTTCACTCGCCGTCTAGAGAAGAATTCTAGCGGCCGGCTGCTCTGATCGGTAGTTTTCCGTGGTTTCTCCGATTAATAATAGTCGAATGCGGGAGCAGTTCTCCAACAAGGCCGCGCGCGATCTTTCCTTCCTCTTCCTTGACTATCCTCGCCCCTTACTTAGATACATATACTACACTATTACTCCTATCGAAAGCTAATAACTTCTGGAGCGACGTCCAGCTTGTGGGAGATACTCGTTTATGTAAAATTGGTCGTTAACGTCATCCATCCAGTGAATTTTTGGTCTTCCTTTCTTTCGTGGACCTGTTACTGTCCATTCCATAATTTTCTTTGGAAGCCCACTGCTATGCATTCTTTGCGTCTGGCCAATCAATTTTGTTCTCTAAACTTTAATGAATAGTATCATATTCTCACCGTTTATTACAATTTCAATTTCTTGGTTGGTTCGTATTCTCCATATGCTCGAAGTTACTTGCATTAGACCTTACAGTTTACGCAATATTTGCCTCTGAAATAAGTTGTTAACATCTTTTTCATTGAAGGTCTAGGCTTCTGAAGTATACGTTACAATATTTGACGTATTAAGGGCTTACAATTTCACATCTTTACTTCTCTTGTTATCATCTCTGTATATATGTAGTATGTGGAAAGTTATGTAATGCTACGGAAAATCTATTTCGAAATTTCAACGGAAATACACGTTTTGGTACACACCTCTGAAGTTGTTTTTTTTTTCTTTCAAAATGTCCGTCCTTCTGTTTATCTGCCAACAGTTACTGAATGCATATAAATGTTCAATATAAAAGTGTAGCTTATAATAACTATTACTCGTCGTAGAAAATGTACTGTATTAAACTTCAGTATGAACTGCACGAAGTTTACATAATATCACTGCACACTCGTACATTAATACACGTCAATTACATCATCGTTTCACACGAGTAATACGCTATTTTGCTCGTTTGAGTCTCAGTGGAAGAGTTCCAAACTTGGTTGGCGCAATGTACTGCTAGCTTCTCATTATGCCACATGCAATTGATTTGCATTTATTCGAGCAGGGCTGCCTATCAATTACATATCTGTATGTTATTGTAATACGATTTCATTATTAAATATTAGTATGTAGAGATTATTTACAAAGATTAGTATCACCAAACGACGTTGCAGCATGTGCGCACGCACTTATCAGCACATGCTACGTGATGACGATTGGTTTAGTGTGTGACAAAGTCATTTAGTTCTTACATTCGTTAATTTTGGTAGACTATCGTTTTCCGCTTTCACTTTAGCGTAGTTTAGAGATCGCGCACAAGCAGAGGCTCAAAAATGTATTAATAGCTATGTGTATGCTAACTCTACATCGCCTTGGGATGCTTCGCCGGCCAACCCAGAGCGAGCGGGATGGAGCTCGGTCCGAGAGCATCGCCGACCTTCACCGTCTACTCAAACGCACCGCGCACCGTCCCTTTCCTTCGCCCTCCGTGCCTTCCGGCGCCCTTTGCGTGATTTCCGATCGCTCTGCTGTGACGAGCTCTTGTAATATTTAACCTACAAACTAGTGGTGCAACAAATGGCACAGCCTTTCTCGTATTATTTTTCTATTTTCTTGGGTCGGACTTATTCGGCTCGAAATATTCGGACTTGCTACACAATCTTAACATCTGCCATCTATCACCGCCCAAAGTACTTTCTTTTTTTTCTCAATTTTTGGATTTCCTAATCGTAGAAGCGAAATATTACTTTAAGAATATTAAGAAGAGTAAAACCTCGTGCTAAATGGCAATTTTCATTGAAAAATTTGGAGCCCTTTTTAAGAAAATTGTGTATAAGCATTAGTGTAAAGGCGAAATTTGAAGCTCGTTTTCACAGGAATCTTTTGTGTTTTCGAAAAACTTCTTTTGAAGTCATGCGAAGAACTTTCACTCACAAATGCAATAATGTTTAAAAATTACTTAAAATGTACATATTAACATCGTGCGAGATATTTCAAAAAACATCAGTACAATTTTTGAAAAAACAAAAGAATACAGCAAAATTAATTCTATGTCATCTTAAAGATAATAAGCACTCTCCCTTCGAAAAGTTTGAAGAAAAAATTTGGAGCATCCAAACGCCATTTTTGAGAAAATGGCGTTTGGATGTTTCTGCAAATGCATTTTAAGCTAGTTTTTACATAAAACGTATGAGTTACCCAGAAACTTTATATGAAGTCATTTAAAGCACACGTACTCATAAATAAATGTAAACAAATTGCCGCTAACGCTAATATTAACGACGTGAGTAGTAAAAAGCACATTTTTGAAAAAACAAAACAATAGAGCAAAATGGCGTTTATGTCATTTTAGGCAGTACATTTAGCACTAACAATGTGGACCGTTTTTGAGAAAATCTTGTTTTTGTTATACACTCAATATTACGCGAAAACTATTAAACGTTTAAAAAAATGCACAAAAACTTAATGATGAAATAATTACGAACAAATATTTTACTTGAAGGAAGAATCACTATATTTAATTTTGCAGTTGTAGGAAGACGCCAAAAAAACTCGAACTTTTGGAGTTTTCGAAAATTTAGAGTTAACCGTGAAAATCGGACCTATGCCACCTTTAAAGTGTAATTTACTCTATTGTTACAAAAAATTTAAAGAAAAAATTTGAGATATTTTTGAAAAAAAATGAAAAGTCCCCAGAGGCTTCAATACCCCCAAATTTGAAAGAATATTTTTCAAAACCTCAAAGCTTCGACTCGAGCCAGATGGACGGGGGTTTCTTCAAATTGGAAAAAACCCTACCCGTGGTTTAGGCGCTGATGGTATTCACAGACAGACGGACGGAATATTCTTACTTACTAAAAAATATTTTTCGGTTTCGGCCGAAAACGTGTATTTCCGTTGAAATCTCGAAATCGATTTTCCGCACCAAAACATAACTTTCTCTATACTATGTATATTACTCCGTATATCTGTACGTACACGAGAAAGTAAAACTAGTGGTGCTACGGAATGGCACAGACTTTCCGGGATTAGTTTTCTATTTTCTTTGGTTTCGGCTAGCTGTTCGGACTAGCTACATATTTTTGCCAGCTGCAATTTAAGGCCAAAGCACATTTTTAAAAAAATCTTAATTTTTTGGTTTTGTAATAATAGAACGGAAATATTATTTTAAGAGTATTAAATACGTAAACCTCGTTCTAAACGGCAATTTTATTTGAAAAATTTGGAGCCTTAAAAAAAATAATAAAATAAAAAGGCGCTCAAGCGCCTCTGAAATTCCGAAATATGAAGCCCTTTTTCACAGAAAAGTTTTGAGTTTTCGAAAAACCCCATTAAGTCATTTGCAGCACTTCAACTCACAAATACAATAGTGTTTACAAATTGCTGGAAATGTGCATATTAACTGCGTGAAAGATTTTTCAAAAAAATTACATTGTAATTTTTGAAAAAACAAAAAAAATACTACAAAATGAACTTTACGTCTTATTAAAGAGTGCAATTAGTACTATGCGTTTGAAAAGTTTCAAGTACAAATTTTGAACTGTTTTTGAGAAAATAACGTTTGATCATTTCTGAAAATGCGACATTTTGAGCTAGTTTTCACAAAAACGGCTGAGATTTCGTAGTTCGAGATAGATATTGTAGTGATGTACTTATACAGATAATGTGAACAAATTGCCGCTAATGTAAATATTAATAAGGTGAGAGAAAAGTAAAAAAAATACATTTTTGAAGTTTTTGAAAAACAAAAGAATAGAACAATGTGACGTTTACGTCATCTTATAGAGTGCATTTAGCCCTATTCTCATCAAAAGTTTAAAGAAAAAAATCGAAGCCGATTTGAGAAAATCTTGTTTTTGTATTTTTTTTAATTGCAAATATTCCACGCAAACTACTTAAAGTTACAGAAAACTGTATATGACCTAAATGAAAGAACTCACTATGGACAACAAATCATATATGAAGGAGAAACTTCCATATATCATTTTGTAATTGTAGGAAGATGCAGAAAAATTCAAACTTTTGTAGTTATCGAAAATTCAGAGATAACTGTGAAAATCGGACCTACGCCACCTTTATGTGTATTTTACTCTATACTTACAAGTAATTTAAAGAAAAAGTTTCAAGCCGTTTTTTGAGAAAATTGTGTCAATGTCCGTGGGGTTTCGTGTAATTTACAACCAAAGTTTGAAAAAATATTTTCAAAATCGCGGGGGCTTGAAATCAGCCAGATCGACCTGAGAATATCCATTTATCGTACGTATGGTTTAGGCGCTAGTGGTGTACACTCTGACGGACGGGCGGAAGTTTGAAAACACACTTTTTCGGTATCAGGGGACCCCAGAACGTTTTTCCGTCGAAATCTGGAAATCGATTTTCCGCAGCTTTACGTAACTTTCCCTACACTGTATATACGGAAAAGTAAAAAGTGAGGCGTATGAAAAGAATTAATCAAGTGAATAAATCGAGAACTCTGATAAAAAAAAGACTGTATGTAAATAAGTATTTTTAGGGTAAATTAAGGAAAATTAAATAACTTTGTTAAAATAAATATCTGTTTTATTTCACTACTAAAAACGATTACAAGACATGTACACACACAAGTAAGAAAGATGGCATATGACACAATTTATGCCTTCATGATCAATCAACTATTAATGTTATTGACAGGATAAAAGTATTTTAATATTACATAAATTAATATTATATTAATGTACAATATAAAATTAAATTATAACAACATATTATTTGAAGGAATGATTTAATAACCTCGTGTTAATTGATCTGTAATTTTGTTGTGAAAAATGTTTATAGTGTCATTAACTATGTCATATGATTTAACCCCAGCTTGATAATCCATTAAGAAGTCACCTTGTAAAATAAATTGGTGTGAGAATAACGCACAACAAATAATTTGGATTATCTTGTTACATTTAGAATGGCAAAATTCATGGAATCAACTCATTCTGGGCAATTCAAATTATTTCATAAAATGTTTTATAATACTATGGAGTGCAAAAATGATTAAGTTTTTTGCAGTGTTTTTATGTTAAATTTGTCCCGAACTACCTTCCTGAGCCTACAATCCATGAAAACCAAAAGTTGAATACTCACATCTCAGATAGATAGATATTTATTTTTTCTGCAGGTAGGTTTATACAACCTGGAGGCAGGACACTACAATTTACATCATACAATTAGGAATATTAATATAATCTTATTTTAAATTATTTTAAGACAATAATAGTAATTATAATAGTAATATAATAACAATAAAGGCAATAATAACAATAATAGCATTAACGTACGGAATATTTTAACAAGAAGCTCACAAATATGGTTTTGCCTTGTATGTCATCTTCATTTCCAAAATTGGCACAATTTGGACAGGGTATTTTGCAAATGTGGAAATATGTGAAAAGATGATGTGAATTGTGGAAAGTGAAATCACCTCCCCTAAATCCCTCCACACTTCATCAGTAATATCAAATTTATATAGCAATATAATATTTACAAAAATCCAATGTGTTTCATGGAATTATCTGATAATTAAATTCAACTTCTTACTTTCTGAACCACATCTGCAGTGTCCGCATACGTTTCACTTTCTTTTGCAATTGAAGAATTCCATATATAAGTGCTTCTGCGGTAGGTGGGCAACCTATGTAAGAAGAATGTTGGAATTATGGACATGCTTGAAAATAAGAATCACTCATTGAAACACAAATACAACTCTTTTAGTTCGAATATTCAATTACTGTAATTGTTACTGCTAATGAGCACAGAAAATGATCACCATAACATAAAAAATAAAAAAAAAAAATAAAAAACAAACAAAAACACACACACACACCTAAAAACTGCAGTATTTTTATTTTAATTTTTTTATTCAATGTCAAAGTTATCAATTGAACAACTTCACTTTTAAATTTGCAACAAAACCATATTATAAGAACATCCATCAATGAACTGAAGAAATATGTTAGTCCTGACCCTAAATTGTTACCTCCATAGTTGCTTAGTCACAGAAATGAGTTGCACTAAGAAAGGGTGTAATAGTGTATTATAATACTCCAACATTTTTATGCCCATTTCTTTTCTAATAATTCAATGTGTGTTCAAAAACATTATTTGTAACTCAATATGTTCTCAATGAAATGTACTGCAATAATATTGCGATTTATGATGAGCAACTCTGATTTTAAATCTAGTTTTAATGGAGATCTAACCAGAGAAGACAACCCTGAGTTACATTGATCAACTTGCAACATACATTGTAACAAAGATTGAAAATGCGCAGTAGAAAAAATTCAACACTATTTTGTTATTTTAAGCTGGCCTCAAAATTATTAAAGAAATTCATTCAGAATGTTAATATTTAAAATGCACCAAATGATGTTTGACTAGTAGTATGTAGCCGGCACAGGGCAGTTACTACTCGAAATTTTGTTACCTACAGCCCCTGTAAATCAATTTAAAACTGTACATATTGAAAGTTGAAAATTGTCACCACATCCTGAAAAATGAGCCAATCTGGATAATTTCATTAAATGTTTTCATTAAATGTTTCATTAAATGTATAGAGTTTCATTAAAGTGAGAGTTTCATTTAAGTATAGAGTTTCATTAAATGTATAGGTTTCATTAAATGGTTTCATTAAATGGTTTCATTAAATGTATAGAAATATGGCAGAAGCCTTGGGACCTCTAACACTACAAAACAATTGAAAAAAAATGTAGGAATATACATCCTCCTTTATGCATGAGCACACTGGTAACTTGGGGGTGAAATCAAACAGAATTACACATAAACAATAACCAATATTTCTGAAATAAAAGCCCCTTGTTTTGCCTCAAGTTAAAAGAAGCAAAAGGTGGAGCAAAATGAGTAACAACATAAATATCTCTTGCAATACATGTCAACTTTATTAGTTAAATATGTGACCTTTAGTTGAAGCGAATCCAATCACTCCCACACTTGGTATAGAATTTAATATTCTTGCAGTAACAAGGATACAAAATAGTGGTTTAAATGCTATTTTCAAGAAAAATATGATATAGCGAGTAAAGTATTTTTGTAACATGTACAATTTCTTATTCTACATTGTTGCATGATATTCAAGACAAATAAGGAAATTCCAACCAAAAATAACGAAGTTAACAAATTGATAATGTTTGTAGAAAGTATCAGTGAATCATCAACAATTATGAAGAACTTGAAATATTATTTTATATTAATGAAATATTATTTTATATTAATGAAATATTATTTTATATTAATGAAATATTAAAAAATGTTTTCTATATACAGAATGTCCAGGGAGGAAAGGTCAAAACGTTTTGAAAATAAGCCCTTAAGACAATTTTAGGCATAGTTTTTCTACTGAACTCCTTGGATAATCGGAATGGCTGAGCCACAATAACCATTCAAAAGATGGTTTGAAAAAATACTTTCTATGCAAAAATGTACATTTCAGAAACATAAATACTTGAGAACTTGTACATTTTTATTATTTACAAAAGAAATGAATATATTTATTCAGAAAGAAAAATTAACACAAATAAAAAATAGTATATTTGTGTAAATTGGGTGTTTTGTTTTTAAAATCCGTGTTTATGAACGTTTTGTTTTTAAAATCCGTTTCTGAACAAATATATTCCTTTCTTTTTTTTTTAGTAAACAATTTGCATGTTTCTGGAGTGTTAAATGTTTCTGCAATGCAAATTTTTGTACAGAAAACATTTTTCAAACCAACATTTGTGTGCTTATTGCAGCATAGTCATTCAGATTATACAAGGGTATCATTACACAAAATATGCTTAACAATGTCTTAAGAGCTTCTTTTCGAATTTTTTTACGTTTCTTGACATTACAAAGATATTTAAAAAGGTTCAAAAATTTACCAACGTGCTTTAATGTACTATAAGGTCTGTGCCACACGTCTTCGGTTGACGCGCGTCACCCAACGCTGATGACGTGCGTCGATGCCTGCGCACGCGCGTCATCGCGCGTTGTAGATTAACACCATCATGCGAAACGCGTTACGAGCGCTCTTAGCGACGTGCGTTGTTGCCAATTCTCGTCGCCTAGCGCGCGTCGCGCGTTTAAAGCTAGAAAATGCACTTTATATTGACTAACGCTGTAGCTTGAGAGTCTTGTTTGTGCTGTGCGCACAACGCATGTCACCAAGAGCGCTCTTGTGCTGTTTCGCATAAGATAGTGTTAATCTTATGTCCTACAAAAGCTACGTGGGACATTATTAAAAAGACTACCGCACCAACTAATTATAGAAAAAATATAGAGCTCCACTACAAAAACGAAACTGTACAAGACCCACAAGAAATAGCTGATATACTTCAATGAAACCATTTCACAAATTAGTAATAAGTTAGATCTCTCAACACTCTCCTAAAACAATAAAACACACCAACCAAACACTGAATATTACACAAATTGTAAATTCTAATATTTTTATATGGAAACCACCCTTCTGGAAATTTTTTAAAATCATTGGACAAAGGAGATGACATTCTCCAGGCAGGCATGACAGATTTTCTTAATAAACACAGTGCTCCATGAATAGTGCAACACGGACGTCTCGACATCTGCAATTACTCTCTAAAAGTCAGGCATATTCCAGATATATGTCAAAACAGGCAAAAATTAAACCATTGCTTTTAAAAAGAGCAATAGTTATGATCCAAATTAACTAAACCTATCCCTGTTTTCAGGATTTTCAAAAAGTTCTGGAAACGCTTTTAACAATGATAGACTCAACAGTTTCTCAATGCAAATAATGTCCTACAATGCACAACATGGCTTCAGTAGTAAGAGATCCACAGACACAGGCCATCTTCTCCTTTTTTAAATGACATACTTGTTGCACTAAATCAGAAGAATTCCCATTGGCCTTTTCTTTAGATTTGTCAAAAGCCGTTTGACGATCATTGACCATCATATATTTTAAGAAAAACTAGAAATGCTAGGGATTCAAGGACATGTTAGGCCAATGGATCAAATTCATATTATCAAACCCGTTAGCCAAATAGTTCCTCCAGCATCACTAAAGAAAACAAAATTCCTCGTGCTACTCTGCCCTAAATAATAAAATTGTGGAGTCCCGCCCGAAGATCCATGCCTCAGGCCAATACTATTCCTTATATAAATCAAATGACATGCCTTTTGGCTTTAAGGAACAACACAATATTTTGTTGCCAGATGATACAAACATCTCATCAAAAGCAAAAACACATACATCATTAGAAAAGCGAAACCTCCCTCACAAAACTTTTGCAAGCCACTAGTAAAATGGTTTAGAACAACAAACTCATCAGTAAACACCAGCAAGACTGTCTCTCTAAATTTCATGATCCCCGATCTAAAGAAAAACTCTCACAGCATTTGGTCATAAACAATAACCCTGTAATGATATCCTCATGAAAACTACCATTCCTCGGACTAACAATTCGAAGAAAAACCTAAATGTAACACTCACATCTCAACCTTAACAAGAAGCTCAGCAAATCTTGCATATGCTAACACCCTCAGGTGAAGTGCCAACATTGAGACACTTGAAACACTGTATTTTTGCATGTGTACACACCTAAAATATGGAATGGAATATCTGGAAATGTCCGCTGAAGCACTGCGCACATTCTATTATCAAAAGAAAGATATTGCAAACATGATCAGCACTCAAAGCTGGAGTCTTGCAAACCTTGTTTTAATAAACTGAGGATTGCTTCGTCTACCATGCATGTATATATTTGAAATAGTAGTCTCAACAAAGAACATTCTCATAGAAACTGAAAGACACTTTTACTTTAAATTCTTGATGTACACAAATCAACACCCGTCAAAGGATCACCTACATGTTCCTCGCCTGAAACTAACACTTTATTAAAAAGTACCTAATAGGGGCATTCAACCTTTACAAAAACCTAGCAATGATATTAAAGACAAACAAAATTCATCATTTGTAAAAAGTATTGAAAGTTTAATGCTAACAACATGTTCCTACCAGTGAAAGGAATTTCAAATTAACAAACATTTCCCTTCAAAAAATAAATAAAATAAGAATTTCTTTATCCATTAGACTTTCTTCTGTTTCATGTAAATCTGTTTGAAGCTGAAGCAAAGAAAAAAGAACTGGCATATGCGATCTGTGAAATAGGATAAATGCTGAACAAAAAAAAATTCTGTTTCTCTCTGGACAATGTTACAAATTTGAAAAAGAAGAAAAATTAATTATTATTATTATTATTATTATATATTATAGATTTATTATTAATTATTATTTATATATATATTATTATTTTAATGTCTTATTATTATTGTAATATTATTTCTATATATTAATCTAATGTATTACCTATTATTAAAAGTAGAGTATTAAAATAACATGCTTTGAAATTGTTAAGTATTGAGCATATAATTATACAATGTACAATATCCTAATCTAACTGCTAACAAGTATTGTATGTCTAGGCAAAACAACCCATCTCGGATGCAGTTTTGTTCAGTTTCCTGATGCATTGAGCAAATGCTGAGATGGCCCTTGTTTGCCTAAAAAAAGATCCTGAACAGTAACGTAACTATCGCTCTCTCCACCCAAGGCATCTGCATATTGACTCTCATATGCCGATTGTAATTGTATATTGTGAATCAATAAATAGTATTGTTGTTATTTATTATTAATTATTATTATTATTATTATTATTATTATTATTATTATTATTATTATTATTATCATCATCTTCGACGCGTGTTATGAGACGAGTGCACAAGCACCGACGCAGCTGACGTCGTCAGTGTTGAGAGACGAGCGTCAACGTAACGCTCGTGTGACACAGGCCTAAGAGATGTGATTTCTTGGTCATTTGTTTATTTTACATCATCCTCCTTCACAATTTCACACTTCTCATTCTACAATAAACGTATTTTTTTACATCCTTTTCCAATTTTCCGTACGTTTATAACTGTAAATTCGTTTCATGAACCCTCTTTCTATTATTTCATAAATAAATTTAAAATATTACTTGTTGGAAATCATTACGAACTGCCAAAAACAAACATTTTATTGAGTTGAGGAAAATGTAAACTTCGCATTTCTTTTCTTACAGTAGAAATAACATTTCCCTCCCTTCATTTAACAATAAGTGCATTGTTGTATCGTCAAAGGCTACCATCAGTGGATAGCGGGGACTTGAGAAGTGTCATAGCGACATTTAAAATTCACTATGCTAAGGGTAATACACTGATTTTCGAGGAATATTTCTGTCAGATTTATATTTGCCCTTGTAATATTGTTTATTAAATCACGTATCTAATACTGCAATTTAAAGCATATTATAATATTTTTTGATTTATGTATCTAAGAACATAATATACTCACAGTTTTGAGGGAAAAGCTAATTTCCCCTTATTTACACTTCCCGCAATTTACACCATTTTCCCTAGGATTCCATGAAAAGTGTAAAGGAGGGGTTTTACTGTAAATGAACAAAATCCTGATTTATTTTAAATTATGATATTGAAAGAATGAGGGAAAGACAGTCGCGAAATAACAATGAAGATGTATTTTCTATTGCAAAGATTGGAATAATACATTTTACAGTATTATAAAAAACATGCTCGATGCTTTTCCTAGTCTTCGGTTCTCGTTTTAAAACTTAAATTCTGAAATATTATCAGGTTAAGACAGTCGTCAATTATCAATTACTTGATTCTTTTCTTCATGCGAAAGACGGGAGCAATTATTAAAAATTATTGTCCCACTTTTTCACTATCCTTATAAAAAAAACACTAATTTCTTTAAAGGGTGCAACGCGCAACGGAGAATATCACAATCACAGTCACGCTCTCCATCAGAGGTTTAATCGAAATCAAACACCTTCGCACGCTCTGGGCTTGAGTGGGAGGAATTCGCCGCGTGCGTTCCGGCTTAAAGACATTGGAGGCCAGAGAGTATATGGGAGAGTTGGAGGCCATCGCCGACGGCCTGAACTGCGCTCGCACCCTCCGTGCGTTGCATGGACGCGCTGGTGCCGATCTATGATGCTGATCGCACGGGAGACCAAATAAAGGGGAAAATCTACATAAACTCAAATTTTAAAAAACTATTAATATTTCCTTGGGCGTAGGCACACGACTTGCACACCCAAAGAAAACGCCACTAGTTGCTGCTGACATTATCCAATTAATTAACAAACAAAGAGCATGGAGAGAGAAAGGAATCACCTGGCACATAAATATCCACGGGGATGATTCTGTCGCAGCCTCTTACTACAGAATAAGAATAGTGGTAGTAGCCTCCACCATTGGCACAGCTGCCCATGGAAATTACCCAGCGTGGCTCTGGCATCTGTAAACAGACAGACATAGGATCCCTATTCCTCATCACTTCAATCTATGCCAACAGATTTATGTCAACACTGGAATAGGTTTTACCATCTCCATACCTTCCATTATAAAACTTTTTTTTAAACGGAAAAGAAATGAAACAATACATGTAATGTACTTCACTAGAGTGAATATTTATTTCAATTATTTCTCCCGCGAAGTAGGGTAGATAGTATTGTGTTTGCACAAAAATATATCTTTTCATTCCAAGCATGCTTCTCCTGAATATTTTAAAAAAAGGTTTGTTTAGGATGTGAAATAGTGTTAATTTCTATTGCATTCCTGCTCATGCAGGAATGCATTTGCATTTTTATTGACCTTGCTATTGACATTGCATTTTTATTGACCTTCTGCTCGTGCAGGGAATGATTAATGAATTGATAGGGTGATGCTGAAGGGTAAAGGATCAACCCTTACTGACAGGTACATACATGCTCAAGACGGGATTCGAACCCGCAATCAGATCTGAGCAATTAAATTTACCTGGTCATAAAGTTTTCGCAGAGCTGGAGCCATTTTATTAGTGAGTGTCCCGGCCACAATGATGACATCAGCATGTCTCGGTGATGGTCTAACCAGTACACCAAACCTGTCCATGTCATATCTAGGGCCAATAGTTTGCATCATTTCTACAGCACAACACGCTAATCCAAATGTCAGGGGCCACATCGAAGACTGAAAAATTAATTGAAAATCAAAGTAGAACAATAGGCATGAGTGCATGTATGCAAGTACCTTGCTTAAAAGAGGTAACATATAAGTCTCTTTGGCATGCAACAACATACAATCGAAGCTCAACAAGCAAGAACATGATATTTTAATAATTTGAAAATTCTTTGTAATAACAATTCATGACACAAGCTAAAAGTAATCTATATCTAATAACAAATGTTACACGATAAAATATAAAAAATATACCTAAAATACACAATCTGAGGGGGCACAGTTGGTCTGCTCAATGCTGCAAACAGCAGGAATACAAAGAAGGATCCCATTGCCCAGTGAATGGACAAGTAAAACACTACAAGTGATCACGTGCTACACAGCACACAAATGTCAATGTGGAAGAGGAAACAATCTAGTTTTTATAATCTTTATATCTTCTTGTTTTTCATTAATTTAATTAATATCAATGAAATCAAAAGAAATGTCAAATTTCAATGTGACCTTTTCCCAACACTCCTTTTCTTCCCAACCATTGTGATGATTTTCTTCTTTTCAGATAATTTTGTTATAATCTATCTTTCGATAACTACGCACATCACTGATAAATATTCTTTTCATTACAATATAATGGATTTTTACCTTTCTTTCGTATTTTTTCTTCATCTTAAGGTTTGAAATTATCTACATTGTGTACAAATTCCTTAAACACTTTGATTATTCTTCACTTTTTCCATTTTCCCTTCATTCCCCCTCCTTTGTTTTGTTTTTGTTTTTCAATCAATTTTCCTGATATTTTTCTTTTAACTTTCTTTAAGCTTATGAATAGTCTTCTCTCAGGTATCAACAACTGCATGCCCCAACCTCACACACCCTTTCTCTTCCGTGATTAACTTTCAATTCTTATTAACCACTTGTCATGATGTTTACCACAGTGAACATTTAATATGAGACAGCAGAAACACAGGTTAATACCACTATTGAGAGCAAAATTATGTACAACACAATCTGTTATATAACAGAAGTTCTTTACAATGATTTGTGCCAAAACAAAATAGAACCACTGGAATGATTGCACCTAAATTTAGCAAGAATACTTTGGAGACATCAAATTACCAAATATAGCATAGTTGCGATTCAAATTTTATGTACTACAAATTTGTGTTACTTTTAAAAGTAAAATTACAAAATTGCTTCAAGTACCAATATGCAGACTAACTATGGTAGCTTACCCATAGTTAAAATAAAAATATCAAACAAGAGAAATAAGACAAGAGAACTGTAACTATCTACATGTTATCCTCTGTGTTGCAGTGTAACACTTTGAATTGCAACTATGCTACATTTGGTTATTGGTTTCTCAAAAGTATTCTCAACAAATTTGGAAGTAATAGAAATATAAAGTGTTACAGAAGAATTAATTAATGAAGAATATTATTACAAAAATATTGAAACAACTATTGAATATGTATATTACCTCTGGTGAGTGGTTGTTTATTTTACATTCGATTGCATCATGTGAACTGTTTCTATTCGAGAATGATTACCTTAGCCAGTTTTTCTTCAAACATATAATATTTATAAAGAGAAATTCATCTTAATTGCATCTAGACATGAGTTATTATGTGTATAAGAGAGATAAAATTAATAGAAAAAAGCATGAATCAAGAATATTTAAATTCTTGTGTTGATAATATGTCTTATATTTTAGTATAGATATCTAAATCATTTTAGTTAGAAAATGTGAGTAGTCCAGGGACTTGAGGGTCAGAAACACAGTACCAGAGAGCAAGTCTAGGCAAGGCTGTGTGTGGCAGGGATATACTAGAATAGATACATATGGATAAACAGAGAAGGAATAGATAGAATTCCTATACATTATGAAAAATTAATACCGGAGCAAGGCGCAGCATTTCAGTTTGATATTAATAGATATATAACATCTTTTCTCCAAAACATGGGAAGAAAGTGTAAAGTATTTTTATGCAAAACCTGGGCAATGCTTTGTAGGCCAGGTAACTATTCCTTGATACTGACAAAAAATTTCTGAGTAATACTGAATTTCTTAAGAAAGTTTCAGCTTATTAAGTACCTAATAATGATTTAATCTCACTTATTGCATTGTCTGTAACCAAATAATTAAATTCCTTGACATAAATAACGTAAGTTTGCAAACATCCAGTGGTCTTGTGATAGTGTGTATGACAATCTCCCAAATACAGTCTGTTCTTCTCACAGACATTTGGTTCTTTATTGTTTTCCTACTGTTATCAACAGCAATAAAACCATATTTTGTAGGGCCCCTTTCCATACTTAAATAGTATCAAAAAAGTTATTATTTCCACTTATTCTGGTGAACCTTAGTTTGTTCCTCATTATTCTACAGATCAGCGGCAACACTCCTTATTTAAGTGATTGTTATTAGCAGGCGTGGATCCAGAGACGAATTTTGGGAGAGGAAATTCAAAAGGATTTTGTCAAATATCTATATTACAGATTTTGTAAAATGTCACTACACTCAGCACAAGCTGCCATATGATTTTATTCGTTTTAATGATAATATGAAAATCTTTTTTCTTGACAGTTTTGTGTAAAATTAATAGTTACTGAAAAATTTTAAGGGGGGAGGGGATTTTCCTCATCCCCCCCCTTTGATCTGTCCCTGTTATTACAAATTAAAGAAAACAATTGAAACATAAGTACCTTCCTTGCCCAATTTAGCACATCATCCAAACGAGCCAAAGTATATTCTGCCAAATTGCTTGTATTTTGAAATGGTGAATTTTGCACTCTTCCAGCATTCACAGCTACAAAGAAATATAAATACTTAAATTTAATACAATATTCAATATTGGAAATTATTTTTAAAAGTTTTAAATAAACAAACTGAAAAAAGTTACTTGCTTGATGATTTGTTTGTTCCTGGGACCAATGAGTGATTTCTTGTTAATAGGCATGAAGTCAATTTGCAGGTATTCAGTGGCTGAAATCCTCCCCTCAGAAGTAGCTGTAGGGAAGACACTATAAATTCAGAAATTTGTGTCATTACATGTAGTAGGTCTTCTTTCATTTGATTTATGTCTTTATAAAGAAATTACATACTTGTTGATGCTCTCTTCCAACTGATGTGACAAACACTTTTCTGTATTACACTCCAAAAGTCTTCGTATTAAAAAATAGATTAGTCAATTACAGAATGATCGGCAACCTCACAACTTGCACTAATTTTCAATCTCATATCTTGACGCGACTTCTGAGAAGTCCTGAGGAGTGAGTTTTCTGCTAGCGTTTTCACTAATTTTCACGACGATTTTTGACGTTTTGGCTTTGAATAACTTGTCATCGAAAAGGCTCACCAGTTATAGCCGTTATTTCCTATGTAAAAAAGTACCTGTCGACTATTTCTTCCAACTCATGTTTGGGGGCGTGGTCTGTTTGTTTACTGAAACACGCTGTGAAGTGTCAGTTGATAGCATTCAAATCGGGAGTGTACGGTCAAACGTGCGTTGGGAGTTAGAACTGTGCATATTTTAATTTTTAATCCAATGGGTTAGAAGGCGTAAAATAGAAGGTGCAGGTATTAAAAAGCTCAAGAAATCGTGTACGTTTAATATTCTTAAAGGGGAACAGTATACTTCGTTTTTCGTATCCACCGCTGCTCCTGCACTGCTCTCGGACGAATAAAGTATTGGTTGATGGTGCCCACGGTATCCAACATGAAGATTGTCTTCATAAGTTTCCAACGAACATTGTTAAGTTTTGTACAATATCATAAGATATGAATATATGTTTAGATGGTTCTTTTTTGTTGAGCTTTCGATTAGAGGAGGAAAATATTATTATATACTACAAGTATCTGGAATACACGTGACAAAATAATACATCATAAAACTGTATCTGCCATCTTTATGAAAATCATGTTTTATAAAGAATGGTATATCTACTTTTTCTGGGCGGGAAAAGTCAAGAAAACGTGGTTAAAATGTTACTTCCTGGCGCTCAATTTAAACAGACTGCAGCTTTCACGACTGCTGAGACCGAGGCAATGCCTTCTATATCTAGTAAGAGTAATAAGATAACAATAATAATAATAATAATAATAATAATAATAATAATAATAATAATAATAATAATAATATTAGTAGTAGTAGTAGTAGTAGTAGTAGTAGTAGTAGTCGTAGTAGTAGTAGTCGTAGTAGTAGTAGTCGTAGTCGTAGTAGTAGTAGTCGTAGTAGTAGTCGTAGTCGTAGTCGTAGTCGTAGTCGTAGTAGTAGTAGTAGTAGTAGTAATAGTAGTAGTAATAGTAGTAGTAGTAGTAGTAATAGTAATAGTAATAGTAGTAGTAATAGTAGTAGTAATAGTAATCGTAGTAGTAATAGTAATAGTAGTAGTAATAGTAATAGTAGTAGTAATAGTAATAGTAGTAGTAATAGTAATAGAAGAAATTGACCGAGGCCACAGCAGTCACTGGACATGGAACGGAGTTGGGCGATGCCTCGTTTGTCCTAATTAGGTGAAGAGGTCGAGTAATTGTGTGTGAAGACATCGAGGGCCAGATACTAGAGTTTTTAAATAATATCGTATATTATTACTTCAATCTACTAAATCTTTTTGAAGAGCAGTTTTGTGCAATATGAAAACCAAAGTAGCATGGAATGGCATTATAATTCACGCTGAATGCGATTGAAGGCTTACAGAAATTAACAAAACTCCTGGAATGTTCTAGTAATTATTTTTAGCATATCTTCGATGTCTTATGTTTTAAATTGCCACATAAATGATAGTCCCCTGTAGTCTCTATTCTTAATATCATTTAATGCTTGAGAAGCATTTTATAGCTAAAAGGATTGTTCATAAGAATATTGTTTATTCATTACTTCTGAGCGCCCAGTTTGAACGGACGCTTCTGCCAGTCATTTTGTGGAGCCGTAGGCCGACCAATGCATTGGAGAATCTTTGTATTAGGTGTGTGGTCAGTCAACAAATTCTTCAGGATATCCGGAATAAATCGTGACAAATCGACATCGTCGCTTCATCATATGCGATGTACTATGTCTAAAATGTGACTAATCGATCAAACAAACAGTTTACTGGAATGGTGTTGGCGCGAAAGATGAATGTAATAAAAAAACTAGTGTGTTTCAGGCCCAGGAATACATAGTATTTTCTAAAGACAGTAACGTGACCCTCGGAATAATGTTTATTCCATGGGCCACGGCAGTGTACATCTCGCGCGTAACTAGAGCGTTCGACTGCCGCGACGTTCACGTGGGTTGCGGGCTCGCGGTCGGTCGCAGGGGCAAGTATACCCCGAAAAAAACTTATGTCGAACTGTTTTTTTATCAGCTCGGACGCGGTTATCCAATCGGACGTAAGTTGTAACACAGCTCGCAATTGACGCGTACCAACTTTTTGCTGACGATTTGCCTTACGTTTTAATCCAGGAATACTAATTACTCCAGAGGACGCTGGTTTATCGGAGTGTATCGGCCGGTAGTGTATGTGTTCCTCTGAAGTTTCTCCGTCGCGTCGTCGCCTGTATCGGGACGCAGCCATTCGAACATGCCACTGACCCCGAAGGGCTCGCTCACTAGCCGCGATCAGTTCATTATGTACATATTAGTATGCTAGAGATATATAATTCCTCCTGTCAATTAAGAAATGTTTAAAAAGAAAATATTTCTTGATGTACTAGAACTATAATTATTCGCTTGCAAAGAACGGAATTAAATTGCTCCAGAGAAAAGTTGGGAAAGAAAATTCGGGAATCAATATTTTTTTTTCTTTTAAAGAGATTGTCATCTTGCATTTAATGTAGGTACGTATGTGGTATCTGCGACGAAAAAGAATCAACCAAACAAAAGTAACGATTCCCGAATCGCCGCCAGAACTCACCATGAAGCGGTTTCACGAACAAAAGCTACGGGAGAGTGTCTTTATGAGAGCACAAAAAATTCCAAGAGTGGATTAATCAAATGATCGATGAGTGAAATCGAGAACATCTCTCGCAACTCAGTCTGAATTAATCCTAAAAAGGCTCTCGACAAAGCTTTCTGGTTCAATTTCCTTGATTTGAACTTGAACATTTCAAAGTGTGGAAATCATAACCGAAGAACCTTCAGCATATTGATGGTGCTCCTGACAAGAAGAATTTAATTCTTCTTCAGCAGGGAACGACCACTCTCAAGGTGTGGGTGACGATTCTATCATCGCCCCTGCCAAGCCAATTCTCACTCCACAGTTGCCACACCGGAGTGGAAGAAAATCCTCAGGCTAATCCATGAACATTCATTGATCGAGTTATCTAATGCAGGTCTGCTCAAGTGGCCTGCCCACTTCGCATCCCCCAGGCCCAAGCGTAGCTTATCGGCGGGCATCCGATGACAGCAATTTGAGTCGCTCAAAGTAACCCAAAGGTATAACACACGACCACTGTGTTTCTAAATGTGTCACAAGCATTTGACAGAATGTGGCACCCAGCCCTCTACCTCAAATTGGTACGCCAAAGTATTTAATAAAAGTCATCACAATTTTCCTTGTCATTCCGAATTTCCACCAAGAGAACTTTCTCAGTAAGAGTATATGGTTATTATTCTAACCCCAGACAAAAGCCCCTGGGGTTCACCAAGATTCGCCGCTAACTCCTACTCTGTTTAATCTAGGATATATTGCAGACATTCCTACTTCTCTCCACATAAATACCGATCAATTTGTTGATATCGCTGCATTACATGAGGAGCGTTCTTGCAAAATAAAATAAAAAAAAAAATAAAAAAAGTCGAACGGAAAAAAATTGAATATAAACATACAGACAAACCTGGAAACAAACAAACCTGCATAACACGAATTTTTTGTATTCGAAGCAGTTTCTCATTCACTGCAGCAGTATTTAAAGAACGTTTCTGATAGCTCAAAATTTTGGTTGATCAAAGAAAATTTATTTCCGAAGACACTTCGAGATATCGATTAACGGAGGCCACTTCACAGAAGTTATATTGTGACATTATGCATTACCACCTGTCTGGTAGGCGATTGTGTGCTTTGATTAAAAGCCTGTGTTTGAGCCGTATAGCTCAGAGAGTATATGTATAGCTACTCTCAAGATTTGAATGTGGAAATTGAAAAATCATCAAAATGTGATATTCTAGATGGAATACTTGTTGAAGAGTTAGGTGCAAAAGTGAAAGCATCATTTCAAATGTCTAAGCCTGCCATAAAGTAATAAGTGGTTCCTACAATACGACCACAAATTTTAAGAAAACTTAAAGCTAAAAATAATAAGCAGTAATATTACACATTTTAAAATGCACATAATGGTGTACAATATACTATGTATTTCACTCGTTATTCTTTTTACTACGGAACTGATCATTTCTTTACACATTTTAGAGGATTCTCCTTGTTGTGATGAGTGAATTTGAGAATAATAAGTGGTGCTACAGAATGGTACAGACTTTCTCGCTCTATGTAGTTTTCAAATTTATTTGGTCTTGGTTCCGGGCCTTTTCGATCTTGCTACATACATTGGCCAGCTGCCATTTATCCCAACAATATTTTAAATAAAACAATATTTTCAATTTAACAATATTTTCTTTAAAACGTCCCCAAAGTATATTTTTTTAAAATTTCTCAATTCTTCGGTTTCCTAGTGGTAGAATCGAAATATTACTTCAAGACTATTAAAGAAGAGCAACACCTCGTCCTATAGGGGAATTTTCGCAGAAAACTAGCAGGAAATATTTTACTTGGGACAAACTTTTGTATCGAATTTAATCGTTTAATGCCATCTGGTAAGGTGTTGTAAAATAATGTACATGTATTATATGTGAAATTTTTGTAGTGATCTGTTGATACTGTTACCTGATGAATATGATTACTACGTCGAGTGTTGTAGTTATAGACAACGGTGTTTGCTGAAAATATATTTCCGCCCTTCAGAAAGACATTTTTGACAAAATCCACTGATTCATATATTAAGAGACAAGGTATTGGTAAAATACTTAGATTAATAAAGAGAGGCTTACAAGAATCACGTAGGTGGGATTTGCTTATTATTTGTACAATTCTCTTTTGTAATCTAAAAGTCTGGGAGCTATAAGATGTATTTCTCCAGAATATTATGCCATATCTCAGGCGGGAATGAACATTCACGAAATATACACAACGAGCAGTGTGAAGGCTGACTGAATTTGAAAGAATTCTGAAAGCGTAGCATATAGAACTTAATTTAGTGCTCAATTCATTTAAATAGACGTTCCATTTAAGGTTTGACTGAATTGAAAGACCTAAAACTGTTGTTACCTTAACATCAGTCAATGGCACGCCCTTCATTTTCAGTGAAGTGCTTAGCTGTTTATTTGAAATGGAGAACTGCATTGAAACATTTTTTTTCATTTACTATTAATTTATTATGAAACCAATTTGAAATATCTGATATTGTACTATTTACGGTTTCTTTATTGCAAATAATATTCGTGTCCTCCGCAGAGACTGTTCTTCCGTTTCTAATCATCGAGGGCATACCGTTTACGTATAGTAGGAAAAAAAAAATGGCATAAAATCAATCCCTGCGGAACTCCACATGCAATTTGCAAAGAATCAGAAAGGTGTGTACATAATGTTCCATAATTCCAGTAAGGTATTTCTACTCTCTGAGATCGCTGTTTAAGGTATGGTCTCGCCACGTAAAATAAGGCAAATTCAATTCAATTCAAAAAGTACGAACATAACCAATCTAGAGCAACACCACGAATTCCATACGAAGGTAATTTTGAGAATAAAATGTTATGATCATTGACATCAAAAACTTTTGAAAGATCTAAAAATATTCTAATAGTTGCTTCGTTTTGATCCTAGATGAGGCGACGTATTTAAGAAATGAAAATATAGCTCTTTCCGTAGATTTTGATTTTTGAAACCCATGTTGGCAATCTGAAAACGCGTTGTGTTTACTAAGAAATGTTTCCATTCGTACGTAAAAAAGTCTCTAATATTTTTGAAAAACTGACAAAAGAGAAATTGGCCGATAATTTTGAATTTCATGTTCGTTGCCTTTTTTGAAAAGCGGCTTAATCTTAGCTGTTTTAAAAATATCAGGAAAAATTCCTGTGTTTAAGGATACATTAAATATGTGAGTTAACGGGTGTTGTTGGCGGAAGTTGGCGGGCGCGCAAACCTTTAACAAACAATCCGGAAATCTGAACCGGCCGAATATTTATTTCTCAGTCTACCGATTATTTTGAGAATTTCATGTGAAGAAGTTTCGGAAACAAACATCGTGCATGAAATTTTTGGGGAAACGATGCTGAATTTTGTGGCTGAAGATCCTTAGTGAGATCGGCAGCAATTCTCGAAAACCATTGGTTAAAGAAACTAGCCACAGTTGCCGGATCGTTCACATTTCTATCGTTATCTTAAAAAAAAAATCTCTATAAGGTATCTATTTGATTTGGTCGATTTTTTTTACTATTTTCCACATTGTATTGAAGGTGTGTATTGAAAAGTGTGATTTACATTCTTAAGCATGCAAATACCGATTTTCAAATGAATGTAACGAATTATTATTAACATTAGCATTGTATTTAATACTTGATTGAAGCGATGAGAAAATAAAACATTTATAAGGTAATGAAGAAAATAAAACATTTATAAGGTAATGAATTCGTTTATTTGTGAAATCTTGCTTGTCATTCTGATGTGCCAAAAATAAAAAAAAAGGTTTATAATAGTGTTTGTTCATTTACTATTTCATTTTTCTTTTTTCAAAACTAACGTACGAACTTGGCAGCAAAATGAAACGTTTTGGCGGGCTTTCTGCTTTACTGCTCTCTGATAGGCCTAACTTTAATTTCTTAATGAATTATGAAGAGACTTATTATGTTTATTTGGTTGTAAGTATTCATTAAAAAAAATTAAACGTTTTAGAGTGAACTTCAAATATCTTCCGAGATATAGCGAAAAATAATTGTATGTATTCGAACCAAGCAATAGTGTTCCATAAAAACGCATTAGAACTTTCATAAAACCACAACAAAGTAAACTGACAAACTGTTCCATTAATAGAAAAATTGGCGCTCTTAGCAAGAACTGATCAGAAAATATATGCCTCTTATTGGAGCGTGCTTGCGCGCTGTTGTCAGCACTCATTGTGTGAGATGTATTCATATAGACAGGTATAGTAGTATAAAATTATTATATAACCATTACTAAGGGGCGAAAAAGTATGTGCTGTTCAGCCCCACAAGTCTTCACTTACACCATACAGACTATAAAGATTACAATCTTCATTCCAAATAACTCCATATTGCCGTTATCAAATTTTCAATTACTGCTTCCCAATGCTTAAATTCCGAAACTCCTTTATTCACTGTTTTACCTTTGGCTACTCCACTATAGATCTATGTAATTACCATGTAATAGAGCATTCTGCTCCACTACCTTGTTTTTGGTTTCCGTTATAACAATTATATCGTTTCCAACCCAAAATATCTAGTAATTTATTATTAATTCCTTGTACATTCCACTTATTGATAATGGGTGCTTTCTTATCCGCTGATATCTGTCAGCTCTATCTTGAACAAAATTCTTAGATCTTGTAGCCTGCAGCATATTTTTCCAATTAACAGGGAGCAAGCCTGATGCATCAACCTCTTTCTTGGAGGAAATGAGATGTAAGACGATAATAGAAAATAAGTGAAAAACACTCTCTTCAACTACTAGTATATGTATTTTAAACCCTCCAAAAATAACGAAGATTGAACTCAACTCTGCAAATACTGATCTTTCTCAGGAAATGCTCTCCACAACTGCAATGAGATCTAGAAATCAACCCATATTTACATCTGATCGACAAACTCGAGGATTTACAAGGAAGGGCAAATATAATGTCCATAAAAACAACTAAAGGATATCAAAATATATTTTGTTGATAAGTTGACTATATCACACTTTTTAACTATATATTTTATACACTGTTATGTAAAAAATACCTGTACAGCATTTAAATGTTTATAAAAAGTGTTTCTTCTTAGCATTTAAATGTTCATGAAAAGCGTTTCTTCTTTCTTGCAGGCAGGTCTTCTTCCTCTTCCTCCTCTTCATCGTCCTCTTTTTCCTCTTCCTCCTCCGCCTCACCTTTGTCGGCCTCCAGTTCACTTCTTTGTACTTCATCTGAATCTTCTTCAATGTCAGCCTCCTCTTCATTATTTCCCTGAATGAAAAAAAAGTTAAAACAAAGTAGACAAAGATATAGGGGTCAATATTGTTTATTTAGACAGTGCGAACGTTAATGAGACTGAATCAAAATCTGCAAAAAGGGAGTTCCAGACAGCGTAACATAGGGGAAGAGGGATTTTTGTTTAGTGTTACATAATATTGATATTTTGTTTTCACATTTTTCAATTTTGTTTAAAAACTTCATTTTTTTGAATCTTATACTAAAACATTAAATTATTAACTTATTAATTTGTTTTAAAAACTTAAATACATTGAAATTATTAGAAGTTGTTAGAATAAATAGAAATATTTTTAATATTTATTTTCTTTCTTTTGAATTTGTAAGGTTACGAAGAAATTATTCAAAACTGATCTGTAGTGAATCCAATTAAATTGGTGCAGTAGTTCTTCAGCTATGCGTCATCCATGACAGCATGTGCATGAATTGTGAAGTGAAATTTTCTCGACTATGCATCCTTCCTTCATTCAAAACTTGCCCCCAATCGTATTCTTAGATGCAGTCAGTACGCCAAGTAATTTCGACTTTAATTCTCATAAATTTAATACACAACAAAAAATTGTTTTTACTAAACATAAAATGAATTTTTCTTAGAAAAAATGTGTACTAATTTCAATTTTGCTGGATTCTTTCATGCAACTTGTACTGAATGGTAAATTTATTTACAAACAATAACATTAAATCAGAACAAAATATTGTGCAAAATTGCTTTTGAAGACTTTTAAAATTTCTTGTATGAATTACTGTAATTTGTTCACACAGAAAAAGTGCTCTCAGGATAAAAAGGGCATTACAAAGTTCTCAAAAATATACATACCACATTTCCCACATTCAAAAAGAAGGGGTCATCTTATATTCATGGATTAAGCATGATTAGGATTTGTTAATACCTTGCTTTTCCATGTCATGAAACTCATAAAGTTTGCATAACATTAAGTTAAGATAAAAATATCTGGTATACTTAATTACATTCGAAGACGTTTCTTGGTATCCACCGTGAATTTGCTGAACAATTCAGACCAATATTTAGTAATGGGCCATGAAAGAGAGAGAATCTTAAACAAATGCAGTGTATCAAAGGTTACACAACGTGAAAATAAATTAAAATAATTTTCAAGATTTTGTTTTATTCTGCATGAAGATGAAGCTTCATGGACTGTAATTTCGATGCCCAGCAAGTGTAAATCTATGTTTTGCAAGAGATGGAAATGAACACATTCTACATTCAACCACAGAAAAGAATGATTAAAAAAAAAAAAAAAAAGATAATCTTAACAAAAACTTCGCAAACTGGAAAACGTGCAGCTATCTCCCATGTTACCAGTAAATTGAAGATGTTCAAATTCTCAGTTAGCACACTCTTATCACACAAACATTAAAAGATGTGATTTTCACATACTTTTTGATATAGTATTTGAAAGAACTGGTAAAAAATCAGAAGCCAGAAACAAAGAGGGACAGATCCAGTGACAAACATGAAAATGTTCTTCGAAAGCATCAGATGAAAGATTAAGAACCCAAATTGAAAGCGCAAAACTTTTAGAGGAGTGTAAAAAGTCAGGGGTGATACATGCAAAAGAACAAGAAAGAAAGAAAGAAAGGAAATAAAAAAAAAGAGGAAAAGAAAAGAAAAGAAGGAAAAAAAAAAAAAAAAGGTCAGGCAAGTTTTAACATTTTCATCTAGACCACTTCTAATTAATTAATAGACAAATTGCAATTTTATTTGGACAAAATAGTAAGAAAAAGTCAAAAATTTTAAAAATTCTTAGGAAACCACTTCAAAATTAGAGAGACATTTTATATTCAAGTACATAGAGTAAATAAATTAACTAAAGGATACCCAAATTTCATTATTACCAACAAATATCAATTTTGAAGAACCTGATGTACTTTCAAATTAAGAGTTTTTATTCATTCTGAAAGTATATGAACAATTATTTAATCACATTGCTGGCTTTGTAACATCTGGTAAAATGCATTAAATATTTCCTAATTAATACATTAATTACAAGTTAAGTCAACTGAAACAGTAAAATTTAACTCATCTTGTCATAAAGTTCAATTTTTGTATTTACCTCTTGATTCTCGAGAGTAGTCTTTACAACATCTATCTTAATGCGGAAATCTCTACCAGAATGCACCTTTACACGTTCCATTAAATTCACCTGTGGTCAACAGAAAGATTACTCATAAAATAACTTTCAATGTAGGTCAATACAAGTACGTTACAGACAGTTATAGCTGGAAAAAGTCAAGAAATTACTTACATTACACTTCTTAGAAAGAAGAATCACATTTTTTTCAAACATTTCCATGCCATATACTATGCGAGGAACAAGTTTAGAATCCTTTAATTCTCTTGCCATTCTCAATTTCTCACCCTTTTTTGATTTTTTTCTCTCTTCTTCATCTTCATCAGGATCATCCTACACAAATAATTATTTCAAATATATTTATTTCAGGAGAAAGAAACAACAATTATTTTGAATTAATTTATCACAGACTTATGACATGTGTAGATTTAGAGAAAGTTTTATGCACATTTTAAAAGTTTACAAAATATTTAAAGAGCACTAGAAAATTAAGTAGTGGCTCTTCAACAGCATATACATTTTTGCATTATTTGTAATGGCAGTATAATAATAATAATAATAATAATAATAATAATAATAACCTACAAAAGTGTTAAAATAAAAATAATAAATGCATTACCCCTAAGCACAAATTGTGTGGAAACTACAAATTGTTTCAAAAAATTATTAAGATATTTATTATTTAGAACAAATTTTATAACAGAAAAAGTCACTTTGTATTTTGCGAGATACATTTTTGCAATTTCAAAAATACAAAGAGGGTGCCAAAAATGGGACCACCACAAATTTCTTTCCTTTTTTGGCTACATACGAGTAAAAATGGAAAAAAAAATTGGAGCCATTTTTGAAAAAAAAATTGTTAAAAAATTGCCTATATTTCACATAAAATCATGTAAAACCCACAAAAATTTTAGAAAATCTGTACACGACCTCATTTAAAGATCTGTCTTCAAACAGCCGATTTCATTTTGGAAAAAATGTTTATTGTCAAATATTGTAGTTGAAGGAAGCCACTGAAAAAATTAAAAGTGTAGCAATTTTTCAAAAATAACAAATTTTAACAAAAATGAGACCTCTACAAGTTTTTCCCCAGCATAATAATATCTCTCTTTGCTATATAAGAAAATAGTAAGGCAAGAAAGAATCAATTTAAGAAAGACTGGAAATGTAAATAAAACCACAAAATTGTAATACAAATATTGATATTACCATGACATGAAGCAGCAACCACTGAACATGTTTGGCAAGTTCCACTGCAGTTAAATGCACTACATGAGTAAATCTGTGAGGAAAAACATAAGCACTTTTAATTATAAAAACAAAAAATATCCATACTACATAGATTAAGTGCCAAATACAAACCGAGCAGTTTGAAAAGCCATGTCAACTTTTGATGACCGCATACTGAAGTACTTGGCTAGATTTGAAACACTGTTATAAAGATTAATCAAGAGTTTGAGCACAGAATCCATTGCTGGTCCTTCTGGTAAAGATATGCGCACCAATAAGGTGACAAGCTTTACACAATGACTCATGTGTGAACAAATTTCCCGTTCCTGTTTGCAAAGGTGCTCAGTCTCTGTAAAACATTTACTGGAATTACTAAATCATATTAACTTTCTGTGCATTATATCCTATGTTTTATTCCCTAAAACTGGTCTGTATTTTCTCAGAAATATATCAGTATAATAACAATTCTCCTGAAGTGCTCACATAATTAATAATACAAAAATGTTCATAATGAGAGAAATTAAAATGTGTCCCTGTATGCAGAGCCAAATTGAATAGGATGCTTCTAGAGTCTGTAGTCCAAGACGTTTTCACTACCCAAATGAGTGAATTGTTCCTGTCCCAAGTAATAATAGTTTCTAATAGTTAGTAGTAACTGTCTAATAAAATATTTCATTATTATTAAAATGATCCCATTATAATTATAAATAATATCCCATTATAAAGAGCTTGAAAAACAATGTGTGTGTGTGTAGTGAAATTTTGTTACAAACTTGATCAAAACATTCTATTTGGACAAGTGAAAATACAATGAAATTTTAAAAATAACTGTCTTTAAATATAATGAAATTATTTTGATAATAATAAAATAAAAATGTCTGTGCTTACACAGAATTAAACACTCTTTGTATGAAGGGTGTTTAAAAAGAAAAACTTCTGAAATAGCCAACTTGCTGAGGGAGTGCGCAATGGCTATCATTACTGCCAGGATTAGACAACTAACTGCCATTTGTTTCAATTTGCTACAACCATTTGTCACTGAGCTACAGCTGTAGTAGTGTACACATGCACAAGCTCTTTGTTCGGTTAGTGCCAAAGTAACTTTTTAAAGAGCTTGAAGAAAGTGTGCGAGTGTGTGAAATTTTGTTACAAACTCGGCAAATTTCCTCAAACCGCAATGGCATTGGTATGCGAGTGTTAATGAGAGGAGAGGAAGCAAAACATTTTACTCCCTAAGACCCCTTCCAGAAACAAGTTAATTTTTGAATAATTCAATAAATATTTTATTTTAAGATATTCAATAAATATTATGCAATTAGTTATGTGTAACAATTGTACCAAATAATTTGGATGGAAATGGAGGTGGCTAGTTTATTTAACATTTCAAATTTGATTTATCAGAAAACATTCCATTTAGTGTTACCATGTATTTATCAAAAGTTTTCTAACAACAAATACAAGTTTATATTATTATTATAAAATTGGTTTATCTCTTTCACTGAAGACACTTCGAGAAACCACTTTAGTATCTGTAGTATAATAATTAAAATGTAGCATAGCGTAGTGAGGGCGGCCAGCTCGGGTGGGCACTTTTACGGGCTGGCAAAATTTCACTATAAATAAAAATATCTTGTAAAAATTTGAACTATTTCATTACATATTTTTGTCATACCTATGATTTGAGCCAATTGAAATCAGCACAGAATCTTTCATTAGTTATTCTGTGACGACTTCTTTACATGAATAAATAATAATGATGTCTTGCTCATTGTAGAGACTGGCAATATCATTTGTACAGATTGGTAGGGATTCTCCATATTTTATTTTGTGCTTGGATTGTTTATGACTAATAAGTCAATGATAAAAGCCAACGACTTCAAGTGTTCAATATTATATAATAACACTCGCAAATTTGATTACAGTATGGTCCCTTCAGGGAAGCATGTGAAAATATAAATAGTAACAGTATTGTTCTAGTCCTAATAATTGGAAGTTGATTTGTGTATTATACTCAAGTAGCTAATCTTGTCGATCATCAAGGTATAATAATACATGTTCTGTACCTGTCATATCAGTGTAAATAGAAAACAAGTGGCATAAGTGTAAACATTTTTGAAATAAATAAGATTATGTAAAATATATACACATGACTTTTTGTTATTTATAACCTGCACAATACACAATAATAATGATTGTTCTTGTGGAAATGTTCTACAGATTAACTGTGTATTTTAGTTTTTTAAATTGAAATACTTAAATAAGGAGGTAGTGAAATTTTCCTCCGTTCCAAGTGGCTAACACCCACATTTAAACACTAACAGAAACACATAAAAATAAAATTGTTTTCAAAATGTTGCATCTCTTTAAGGTCTATCACCCTTTCATTTCATATGACAAGTTCAAATGGAGTATTAATGAGTTTGAGGTTTCTGTATGGGATTTATACCTAACATGATTAGGACTCAGAAATTTTCATACTATACTGCAAAGGAGGAAAGAAAGACACTTGACATTTACAAACTCAATGAAATGTGTTCCAAACTGTGAATGCTGATTGCCAATGTATTAGTGATTTATTTCTTTTTCATATTATATATTTATTTTGGAGAATTCTTACTCTCTTCGGAAGACTGAGAAGAAGGGTATGCTCGAGCAGCAAACATTCCTCTTGAACGAGCAACTAACCAATCAATATCATTTAGCATGTGCATTATAGCAGCACATAACTGCTGAAGACAAACAATTTGGGTAACTTCTGTAAGAATTGCAAATCGAGAGACTCGTTCTACAGGTGTATCCTGCAAAAAATGAAAGAAAAAATAAATAAATAAGATTCAGTTTAAATACTGCTCATTTACATACTGGAATAATATTTCATTAGATATCTTCTCAATATGACAACCAAAATTATCTAACCCACTTGTACTAACAAAAACCTGCCACAGTAGAATTGAGATCACTTTCTTAATCTTTCTGAGGTCCATCAACCCATTTTGTGAACAGTATAATCAAACTTTTTTCTAACATAAAAAACTGAATATACATATCCAAAAGGTTTTCAAAAAACAAACTCAGAGAGAAAGAAGAAAAAAAAAAAACAATCCCTGCCATGCACAATTTTTTGTTATTTATATACACTCATTTCAAAGAATTATATGCATTTCCATTTATGCACACAATATAATTTTCTATAAAGATTTTGGTGAACTATTTATGATACGCTTCATAAGCTATATCAGAATTACTTCGTAGCATTTCTAGCAGGAAAATTCCTTCTAGGTGGAAAAATAAGTCATCACAGTAAAGGAGCTACACAGTAAAGGATCACAGCAAATTTTAAATATTATCAAATAGTAGCATTTGCAAAGTTCTATAGTAAGTGCATAGTGAATAGGATTATTGCAAAAAAACACTTTGCTATCAAAATCAATTCTTGCTATGATTATGCTGTGATATTTATCAATAGTTATCACAATGCTTATTCTGCACCCAAGTTAATTAGTGACTATATATCTAAAATGCTACACATATCCAAATTTTATTCACATAATTTATGTCAATAAGACTAAGAATTGTGTTTACTTACAGTGTCAATAGCATCCATTAGATTAAGTAATTGCAATGCGACGTTGTCAAATAAAGCACCATCTACTTTATGACGAATCTGTAGCTTGAATAACAAAGAAAATATTTCTTTCACTACTGGTTTATTTGTCATTGTTTTTTCTGTGACAAGATTTTTCAGCCAGGAGAATACCTAAAAAACATATAATCACTGAACTTTCCTTTTCTGTAAACATATTTTATATTGTTACTTTAAAAATAACGTGAAAAGAAAATTATTTAAAAAAAAAAAAATTGCAACTGGTCAAATGATAACAATGAATTTTACAAAATCTATTATATAGAGAGAAAGTTATATAAAGCTTGGTTTGGGGATCTAACGTGTGAATTTTGTAGATCACCATTGAACCGACCAGACTACCACTAATAGATGCAGCTTTGATTAGCAGACTATTGTCCACAGATTTAACAATGCTTTTTTCTTAGGTTTTGGGATATAGACATTGTGTGCTGTCATTCTGGAAGGGCACACAATGTCAAAATAATTATTAGAATTATACATAAATAGAGTGGTGAAGCAAAGTGGGGACAGGAGCTATATTGAGGAGCTTCAGTTTTGTTTCCAGTTCCATGTCTCTACTAGGGTCTCTTAATTGATCCGTGTATTCTATTGTAGTTATTAAGTTTGTTTGCTATGTCTTCCTGAGTTTGGTTGTTTACACTTACAATATTTTCAAGGTATGAAAATGTATTTACTTGATCCATTAATTTTCCATTTATTACAATTTTGGCTCTCCTTTGTTTCTTGCCTTGTATTGTCATAATTTTTGTACTGCTCTATTCCTGGAGTATTCTTCAGCCACTTTTGTCAATTCAAAAATGGCTTTTTGTAAATTATCTTCAGAATCCATTATGATAGTTTGGTCATCCGCATACAAGATATCTTCTTTTCTTTTGTGATCTGTATTCCTTGTCCAACTTTCCTTCTCTAAGTATTTAATACACACGCTGAAGAGGATGTGTGATAATCCACGTCCCTACCTTAAGCCACTGTTGATTGATATTGCTGCCGACTTTTTTCCCTCTCGTAACAGTATTTTAATTCTTGAGTTCTTGTAGAGACTGTATTACATTGAACAACTGATTTGGAACTCTCTCATCATCAAGTATTTTTCAGAATTTCTGTCTATTAACTGTGTTGTAAGCCTTTTCATAATAAATATTATAAAAGTTGGTAGATTCCTTTCCCTTCTTTTGTCTATTAACAACTGTAATATTAAGATAGTGTCTTTAATGCTTTTACTCTTTCAGAATCCACATTGCTTTTCTCCCTTGAAATTCTCACATATTTCAGAGAGTCTGTTCCTCAGTATGCTTGCATGTAGCTTAGAAGCTGTTGATAGCAATGTAATGTCCTATAATTGTCATATATCTTCTTTGAGCCATTCTTGTGAATGTTAACAACTAAATCCTCTTGCCACTCTACTGGAATTGTTTTCTCTTGCAATACTTTGTTAAAAAATTCTAAAAACCTTTCTTTTAGCTCCTTTCTTCCATACGAGTTCTATGTTGACTTCATTTGGTCTGGGGCTTTTCCTATTTTTTGCTTTCCTTAATTATTATTAATTGTTTTAATATTAAATTTCCTCATTCATCAACACTTCCTTTTACAACCTTATTTGAATAAATAAATAAATAACCTATCTATCTATCTAGTGTGTGTGTGTGGTGTGTGTGTCTGTGTGTGTATATATATATATATAATTATAATAAATAAAGCTGGCTGTTAATATTAAAATAATAACATCCATGCTAAAATAGTTTTGTTTTTTATAAAAAGCATTTGTGTTTATTTTAAAGCAAATTTTTATGCAGAACTGGAAGGGGGGGGGGGGCAGATCGATGACACTATTGACCTGGTTACCAATTCTAGTAATGCCACTGTGTAATTGTCACAAATAAAAGACAGTGACTTGTGGTGGCATATTTATACTGCTATTTATGAATGAATTTATATTCCTTAATGTTTCTTGCTAATCCTGTTGAGAAACCAAATAGAGGTGCTACAACCCCATATATTTGCATTTTTGTAAACAGTAATGTAATATTGTAATGTTGCAATTTCTGCTCCACCTCAGCTTTTATTTTGAAAAGGTCAAATCCAACCAATTCAGGGAGTGCAATGAAAATGCAACCTATGCCATTTCTTTACATGTCTTATGCTTTATCAAAGAAAAAATTGAAGAAAAATTTCGAGCCATTTTTGAGAAAATTTTGAAAATATTATTGAGGCTACTTGTATAGTACTCCCTAGAATCAAAATATTGATTTTAAATTTAAGACACCCTGACATCAGTCTACATAGTTACAGAAAATTAATTTTGCTGAAAATCCTGCTTACGATTTCTTGTTTACAGATAGACATACATTTTGCTGACAGTGGATTTTTCAGTACCAAGGACCCATCAAATGTGAATTCTGATTACACAGCATGTTAGAGCAAGTAATTTACTACAGATAGAAACAAGATTTGTCCACATTGTGGGGTCCGTCAACAACAATTTTTCTATCAACAATTGTCGGCGTTTTACTCACAGCATTGTCAATACTTTCTCTTCACTGCATAAGTGGTAGGTAGTATAAAGGAGTAAAGCAGTAAAATGTGCAAAACTAAAGAGCATTAACAAATCTTAGGAATAAAACTGCACATTAGTTGTTATTATATGTGGACCAATCTCCTTACTTTCAAACTGCTAATAATTTACCTGAGAAGCAGTTGAGTTATGAAGAGGCAAATGCAAAGAGAGCTGAGATAATAAGCTTGCAAAAAGCAATGGCAATTTTTTAAGTACAGGATCATTATCCGTTTCCTCAGCCTCCTCAAGAGAAACAACTAATCGCTTCTGCACACTTTTGATTGGCACATGTAGCTGTTTTCCAAGACCCTCAGAATATTTAACTCCTCCTGAAAAAATAGACATAAAGACAATTTCAATAATACTCTTTAATTTTAATATCTATCTTTGTTAAGTGATAGAAGATCATTCTGTATACAGATATAATAGGGATGTAGGGACTACATAGGGAACCTCATTCATGCTGCCTGCATTAACTGCTTTAATATGTTATTCGGAAAGACTCAAAACACATCTTCCACTCCAACAATAATCTTTACGAATATCACTGTTGATGTCCAATTTCATTAGCTTTGTTTCTCTTTCTTACAGAAAATTGTAAACAAATCTTATGTCATATTTTTAATAAATTGGAGATATGCTTTGTAGTGTAAATGTAATATTACAAGATTCAATTACATAAATACAGACAAAAGACAGCAAACTAGTGATATTATTTGCTGAAATTAAATTACAGTTTTGAACTCTAATCAATTGATCTACTGAATTAAGCTCTAACTTGACTGACTTACACTGACTTTTTGTTCTTCTCTGACAAGGTCTACAAGTACATCACTTGAGAAATGATGGTTTCAAATTAGGGGAATAGATAATGGAATAGATAATCTTCTGACTAGGGGAATAGATAATGGCAGAAATGTGTAAATTATGTATGTTATTTTGTTACATTGTAACTTAGATTAAAGCAAAGGCTCAGAATGTGTGTATGTGAGCATCACAAAAGATACTTTTGATAAATTTACAGAAATTGCGAAAATTGTGTTAAGAATTGTGTCAGTCATCCATTTTTTTATGGACCTGAACTTGAATTGACAATCTAGTTAGGAGGAAGAATTAACAAATGTAGATGAGTTAAAGACCCAAAGAGGAATGATTCTGTGCTAAATGTTTCATTGAAAATTTTTACCGAAAAAATACATTTTGCACCAGGATTGCTTTCCAATTTTACACATAAACAATTTTTGTATTGAAAGATTTTTGTTATGATACCAAAAATTAAAAATGTATTTTTGAATAAGACAGCACCGTCTTATTCAAAAAAATTCTTATTCTTATTCTAAGAAATGGAAACTCATCTCACAACCACAAAGAGTTACGAAACTAACACTGGTGGCCATATAAAGTCTAGATGTGAATAGAGCAATAACACCGACCCTTAATGAACAGTGAACAGGGCTGATGGGAGGTAAAGATTTTTGGCAAATTGATTTGCCTGCATGTCAGTGATCTATATTTAATGAACCCATTAAGAACCAAGTATTGAAATAAAAATAATGTATTAACGATATTATGTGTTTAATATTACACTAGATAGGATAAAAAATTAATTTATAATTTTTTTAAACCAATAGTCAATGTACAACGAAATATGCATGTGCAACTTTGGGACCTTAGGGTATATCAATTCATCTTAAGACATCTGAAAACAGTATGAATGGATATGAACATTGAATTTTTTTACATTTGTAAATTGTAGTACTGTTGCACGAACTGCATCTCCATCTGGCTTAAGTTTCACCCTTTATAATCATGTGCTCTACATCATGATGATGATTGTTTGATTAATTAATTGACTGATGATTCTGAGCACATCAACTAAGTTAATGGGGCTCATAAACGTAATGCACGTTTTTAGCGTGGGAGGTGGCGGTTATTTTCCCTTCTTGAATGGCAAGATCCGACACAGACCTACCTGTTTTCCCCAAGCACTAGCGGGTCACCGCCTCAACTAGAACCAGCTCTTAGCTCCCGGCCGGTCTCCCGGCAAGTGTTGTAGTGTAGTGCATGTACAAGTGCAAGTGGTGGAAGTGACAGATGAGGATAGGTCAAGAATGCGGAAGAGATGAACATGACACAGGCACTGCAGTAATAAATTTATGCCCCGAGCTACCTCTGCCTGTATCCATACATCGTCATTACGTAGTTCCTTACGTAGGGAAGTGTTTGTGGGTTGACCAAAATATAATTTTTCAGTCTCCTGTGTATTCATTTACTCATTATTGCATTCACTTCCTTTTCCACAGATTTAAGATTTCATTAGAGTCATGGCAAAGTATGAGCAAAATTATAGTTGTGACATGTTTTTTTCATTTGCAATATTATATGTTTTCCATGAGTTTCCATGATTTTCCATGACAATTGCACAGTCAACCAATTTTTCTTCTACTTCTTTGTCCGCCAGAAGATCATCTATATTTTCTTTCTGTCATTTTATCAAAATTAGGAGGGATTTGCAGAAATAAGATCAACATCTTCTTCCAGAAATAATTCTGCACTACCAGAGGCCTTTATTTTCTTCTATCATTCCCGAAAAAAGCAGAATTTTTTGTAGAAGATAAATAATTACACTAAGCATTGTTTATACAATGATGCAACAATGCACAATAAGATACTATCTCCAAGAGGAGATAATTATATCAAGAATGGAAATATTAGACAATAGTTGCATGTCTACTCCTCAAGGGTTATATTTCAACTGCATTTTTCCATCATGTTCAGACCAAATACCCCACTAATTCCAATGTTGCAACATTATTGTAAATTATCAATAATAAGCTATGTAAGGACTTATTTAAAAAATAAATATTCTGAAATGTCAGTCAGTTTGTCAAGTAATACACAGTAAAAAAAGTATTCTTCAATAATTATTTTAAAAATTAATATCGGTGGCGTAATTTACTACATAATCTCCCCAAGTTTCAAAATTCAACAAAGCCACATTTATGCTTGGATATGAATGCAAAACCTAATGGACCTAATGTTAGGACTTAATGGGTTAATGATGACTAAAGGCAGCTCCACACAATTGGCTTTCACTGAATAGCGAGCTACTGCTCATCCATCCCGAGCAACTGATGAGTTTGCCAAACGTTTGCTTCCTTTGATGTGTTCAAAAAACCAACAAATGTTGGGAGTGCGAGCATTGAACATTCATTGCTTGGCAAAGGACAAAAAACCCATCCACACTACTCAGGATTTGGCAAGCAATCGCTTGCCACTCATCAAATACCGAATGTGTGGAGCTGCTTTATGATGATTTGGAAAGATTGCCTGCCATACGTAGATATTGGCTTGTTTCGAAAACTCAAGAAGGTACCCAATGGAGTAATGAACAAAGTAACTTAATGTTATAAACACGCAATGAAAATATAAGCTGCTAATACAACTCATCACATCTATCACTGGCCGTTACTCTTCTTCTGTATTCTGATTGGTGAGGGTGAATGTAAAACTGAATAATTCCCAAGGAACAGTTCCAGTGATTATTGTTATTGATCAGTACCGTCTATCTAGTAATGCAGAAAAAATCTATCAATTATCTTTCTTTCTACAACATATGTGTTACATATAAAAACTTTATAATTTAATAACATTTTAGGAATAATCATAATAATTTTGGAATGAGAATTATAGTTTAACTTAGACTAAAAGCATACAGACCCATGTCCTCCAATAACTGGGGAAGCTGTGGTTCAAAATGAAGAATAACTGAAGCAAGCAGCTCATTGTAGCATTCCACAGCAAGAACAGTCATCAGAGGATCTTCTTCAAGTGGGCTGTCTACATCATCCTCCATGTGTAAGAATCGTTTGTAAATAATACTATAAAACAAGCAAACAAAATCCGTATCAATTTGACAAAACGTAAGTTTCACAAATTATAAATACATAAATTATAAATACAAGTTATACATACATTGCAAAATTCAAAATTGTACACTAAAACTTGTCAGCAAATCCAAAAAAAAAGTGAAAAAATGAATACCAATTTTTATGTTTAGGTTTCAAAGCAATAAAAAAATAAAGTAAGGTAAAACATCAGAAAGAAGAAAATTTGACAAATAGTAATGGTTGCTAAAAGAACAAAATCAATAAAAAAAATTACATATGGATGTAAATTAAAATATAAAAATAGCAAAGAATCATTTTCATAATATTTTGCAATGTTATGTTATACCTCCCAATCTGTGAGCAATAGTTGAACAATCCAGAATCCACTTGTAAATCAGTATATTTCATACTGTGGACCTGTTGAAGAAGCTGCAAAGTCACTTGTAATGCATAACGACAGAATTCACGTCGATTTTTTACAGGGCGTAAATCATCTTCTTGGGCCCATGGAACAGATTCCCTACAAAAGAGAACTGCAAATTAATTTAGTGAACAATATGTTTTGTAGTTTTTAAAAACATTCTTAAACTTAATGAAACATCTACAAGTGATAAAAACACAACAAAATGGTCTTATTGACAATACATACGAAAATAATGCTTCCAGCATTAACACAACAGACTTCAGATCCAAAACTGAAGCAGATTTTTTAAGTCCGATTGCTTTTTTCTTCATACCAGCCTTTTGTTCACTTATGGTGTCATTCATGGATTTGTTCCTTTTGGCTCGAGAAGATTTCTCTCCATTTTTACCAGGCTTTGCAGCATTCTGAGCAATAAAAAATAGGCTGAAATTTACTTCCCAAATTTGCTGACTTCACGAGTTGTTTTACATTTGTCATTTTTCACAAAAATTTTGCCAACTACATTGCTTAGCAAATACATGTGTCTTTCTGTGAACTTTCATAGAAACATTCTGACATCTGATGTACATATTACTACCACTATGCTATATTTAAATCTAGAATGGGAAAAACAAACAATAAATAACCTGACCTCTGGCAATGTCATGGAACCAAATATTAACCCTTTTGTGGTACTATGAAAATAACTATGTTTCAAGTACCATGGACAATTAGAAACCACCAGATTAAAAGGCATCATTCTGGAAATTATTTGTTGGAGTGCACATGGGCATGATCTCCATTACTACAATGGAAAGAACTGACATACATAATCCTACAGCAGTTTGTGAAAAAACAAGAAGTTTTTGCATATTTAGGATTAGAATTTATGCAATAAAAATACATTTTTCAAAAATTGTCCCAAATATTTCGCTCTTGAAACTTTTAAGTTACGGCTTTCTTATTATATTACATCTTATTAAGCTTCAATTTTTACTTTCTCGTGTATGTATGTCTTGTTACTTTGGGAGGAGAGTGAAACAGTCACAGAGTTTTTTATACATATGTATTTACCTTACTATACAATATTTACACTCCCCTGGAAACTACTGCTACACTCCACAGGACTGTGAATCTCTTTGAGGTGAGCCACCCCAGTCTGACACAGCCCCAGCGTGCTCCTGGCCTCGTGTATATTACTCCATATATATGTACGTGCTCAAGGAAGTAAATATAATATCATCTCTACTACTCTGATCATCAAGATTATAATTAATATTTTATTACTATTATTATTATTATTATTATTGGAGACAAAATTTAAAGTGGAGTTATCCAAGTATTCATAAAGAATTTTTCAGATTGATTAAATCAAATGAACACTTGCCTGTGACAATTGATAATTAACACAGTATTAAAACATGCTGAGGAAGTAAAATCACAAGCTATCTACGTCCATTGAAAAGGCTACTATTGCATCATCTGCCTGGATTTATTACCCAAAACATAAAGAAATTATCACTCCGTGCCACCAACCACAGTTTGTAGTTTTTATCCATAGATCTATTTCATGATTGTTGAATTTCAGCAGTACGACTAGGACTAGGAACTTCATACACACTTCTGTTATTGCTTATCGTAGGGGTCAAAATAGTGTGTGCTCTTTCTTGTATTGGTAACAGACACACATTTATTATTAATTAATTATTACCTGCACTAATGAAAGTATTAGAAAACAAATGAGAGATTTTAATGCTTGATTCAATTATCTGACAAGGAATTTATATCATTACCTTTCCAAAATCTAACAGCTTTGTATAGGAACGAAACAAACTAATGAGTTCTTGGTGATGATCCTTCTTGCTAATTGACCATGAAGCAAATGTGTATGCAATAAGTGCTTCATAGACTACAAGAGCTTGGTGATACACTTCATTAAGGCAGCGGCTTTCTGGCAGAATGTCATTCAAATCAACATCATCTACCTGCAGGAAGCAATTATTTAGTTTCAATATGTAGTTTAAGAAACAAAGGAAAACTAAAAAAGAAATCTTTGTAACTTACAAGTCCTAAATTTTCTGGTGTACACATAATCATTCGTTTGCAGAGCAGGTCCAAAATTTCTCTTACTTGGTTCACTGATTTATCATCTTCCAACTCTTCATTGCAACCAACTCTTGTAACAAATTGCTGGCAAAGGAACACCAGTTGGCCAATTGGTTCCTGATATAAAACACAAGAAATTAAGTAATTACTGCTAAAAAATGAATAACCGGGAACTCAGAGCATTACAACTTCCTGGGCTGAATTAAATTTCTTAGGATACTTGCCACATGTTAGAAGGATATTTATAAATACAAATGTTTTAAAATAATTTAGATTCCTTGTGCACATCAAGAAATTCTACAGTATCTTTTCATGTCTGCCTAATATATGGCCTAGTGCCCTAGGAAATTACATAACAGAATGTGTGGGCAACTAAACATTTAAGTAAAATGACAAACTATTAAATTGATGACCTGAACCACTTCTGTAATTCTTGCTGCAAAATTAACAAATAAAATAAATTAAATAGAAAGAATAAAATAATTCTTGCATGGCCTTAAACATTAAATTCATCATGGCTAATGAAAATAGTCATGTAAAGCAGAATACTAACCATCAATGTTACATCCATTTCCTTCACAGACAATGTTTTGTTAAAATCTAATGGTGGCTGGACAATTTCATCTGATTTATAATATTTTTGTAGTAGACTCAGTACGAAATCCACAGCATGTGGATAAATGTGAGGACTCTTTGAAACAGCTTCAAAAAGTCCTGGAAAATAAACAAATTACTTATTTATTTTTTTATCATAAGACTTGCACTTTCCCACTGTCTCATGTACAACACACAGTTCGGCAAGGAAGTTTGCTTAAAAATAAATAATCTACAAATGATAAGGATCACAAATACTTCAATAATTAATTGGCACTTCGTGCCTAATACTAAAATATCTAACAACATAGTTTAAGTGAAAGGTGTTTCAACAATTATGATTGAAATAAAACTGACAACACCTGTTACCTGTGTACAAAGCACTGCGAACTTCTGCTTGCTGGGTTGTGCATCTTTGAAGCACATTTATAACTTCCTTTCCAAAACTATCCCCCCATTCCAATGGTTCAGAATGCACCTGTAAAAATTATAATGCATAATTTCTTACAACGCATTTGCGAGAAAAAAATCAACCCCTTTACACTGGTCATTCACAGGTATTATTTTCAATAAGAGCAGTATTAATTATACAGAAAGCCAGGTAGCATGTTTCACATTTTTATATACTTAAGAGGTGAAAGTGAAAAAAAGTTCACATTCTGTTTTCAGAATTTACTAAACTTAATGAATTTGTAATTTTTTTTGGAAAAGTTATTATTTTTAATAAGTTATTATTCTGTACTAAATAACTATTATACTATAGTTATTATTTGAATATTTATTCAAAGGATTTCAAATTTTTATTGATTTATTTACATTTAGATGTAAAAAATAAAAATGATTACAAAAAGTTAAAACAACAGAAAAATGATTTCTTTTTTCATATAAGATCTTTTATAAAATTAAGAGAAGAAAGAATATTTAGCTGAATTAACTTCAAATTAATCCTGGATCTATGAAGAATTTTACTTGCTACAAGATTCAAAATTAAATAATTTTAACAGTTATCTTCTATATGACTCTTTTCTGGATTTTAGTATCATGCTGTGAATTTTGATCAGGGTATTTTAAGTTAAATCTGAATAAATTCAATAAATTTAAAAAGAGTAAATCATTGCAAAATTTTCTTCTGGTTGAACACACCTGAGATGAAGTACTTTGACTACACTGGGTGCTCTGGGTTGCAATGGCCAATGACTTCACATCCAAAGTCTTCAACATTAAGAGGAAGCCCTTCACTGCTGTCAATCGTATATGGACATTGCTAGAAATGTGATCAATAATAAAACACAAATTTGTAGTCAAAATATATGAATAACATTAAATAAATTATGGTGCAAAAGCTTCATAAAAATGCACCAAATGTGCACCACCTATTAGCACCAAATGTGACATTGCAGTCAAAGATCCTACTTTCCACACTTGCTCTTCACTCTTCAGTGCCAATCCTTATTTTTATCCATGAACATGAAAATGAAGATGAATGGTGAACTTTCATGAATTCAAGATCATAGACGCTTGCTACAGAAAAAGAAGCATTGTACATATCAGTGAAGACAATGATATAAGTTATACTTTTCTAAGTGAGAAGAGATACAATTTAGTAACATTATGCCCCCCCCCCCCATACTTTCATAATACGTAACTGGATTGCTGAATAAAAATGAAAATAATCCATTATGACTTGTACCATAAAGAATATATTATAAATAGATAAGGGATCCTTATTCACTTCAGATGTTTGGAAGAGTTGCACCTATAGAGAAAATGTCAATTCTTGGCGTAAATCCCTCCTTTAGAGTCACCTACAACTGGTGTTCATCAAATTATCACAGACTGAAAACCAAAATCCTTTTATTAAAGTAAGTGCATGTCTAACCTAAACAGTATTGCTAACTTCACAAATCACAGGGAAGTAACTCTATTTTCTTGCATTCCCTCGTATTGTGCATGTTCCAATGGAATACACTGCTAATGTGAATATTTTGATGTAAATTCTGTTCTGTTCTCCATTTAAGTAATGAATATTTCTTTTTGTTTACACATGCATATTTATATTGACTGTTTTTGTTCTGTCACAATATTTAAAAAATGTTTTTCAATAGGACAATAAAAGACATATTAAAACATATAAGAGAAAATAAAGTGTAAGGAGCTATTAAATAATTGGAACCTTTTTCTTAACAACCTCATTGTAATGAGAATATGAGTAAAAATTAGTAAGCAAAAAGCCCTCGCGAAATATGATATATCTTGTGATAGAAAAGGCACAATTAGTTCACAATATTGAAAAACGTAAGTAAAAAATAAAACTATTAATAAATTACAAAACATCACCACAGAATGGAGGTAAGATTCCTTAAGTCTCGTTAATTCTGATTCTTTTTACTTTCTTCCCGTTAATTCTTAAGAGGAAAAAGTAATATAATTGTGCAGCGGAAAACAGTGAACTTTTAACTGAAAAAACTCTCAATGCAACAAGAAAGTGGATAAAACGTGTTCCTATATATAGCAAATGTATTTTTCTAACATGTTGTGTATTTAAAATTCATATTTTGTGGGCGCTTTATACTAAAAAATCGATTGATAGCAAAACTATCTGTCTGGCAACGCTAGAGTCAAAATCGTTCAACCGATTTTCTCCAAAATTGCTATTTGCCGATCGAGCTGACTGACAATCCTTTGAATTTGAACCGGATATTTTGATTTTGGGGGATATTTTTCATGAAGCCTCAGCACTTTCTCAAAACTTGCTTTTTTTTTTCTTTAACTTTTTTCTGATAGAGCAAAGTTGCATAAAGAAATAGTGTAGGTTGTATGTTTGTTGCTGAGTTTTTGAAATGTTACAAAACTTCCAAATTTGTTTGCTGTCTCCTTACAACTACAACATGAAGATAATGTTTTTCCTCTTAATGAAATATATTAATCAAAAACAGATCTTCAAATAAGGTTGCGTTCAATTTTTTGAAAACATGGATAGTTGCATGAAAGTATGAGTATCGTGAAATATGTGAAATTTTTAAATTTTAAATAATTAGTATTTTCTCTAAGACTGCTCGCATATTTTTCTTTATTTTCTCCTTATTTGCAGCAAAAAATGGTAAAGAAAGTTGCTGGTCCCATTTTCAGCAACCTCTCAGTATTTACAAAATTTGCCAATTTAAATTTCTCGTGCTTCGTTTGACATGTTATCAGTTAGCAAAATGAGAGCATGGCGGTTTAAAATATTTAGAGTTCTTCTCATTGTTGGTGGTCATGATATCATATAATATAGATAATATCCTTATGGAAGGAAATAGTTTGAAGGAAGGTAATAAATTTAACTTATAACACAAACATTAAGTTTAGTTCAATGTATACATTTCTTCTACTTTCAAAAGTTTTGATTACAGAATATGGTATTAAAAAATCGGTAGCTCAATTTGATATACTAATCAAGGCAACCTTGGGTGAAATTGTTGTTATTTTTTGGTACAACATGCCTCAAATACAGTAACAGCTAATTTTATTCATTTCTGTTTCATTTATAAAAATAAGGAATGACACTGGAACTATCGAAATAAATGCAGACATGCACCACAGGTATTTCATTTGAATTGTACTTTTTTAAGAAAGTGCAATATTACAATATTATGTAACCATTTACAATAATGTGAGAAAGTAGGTGTGGTTGTAACACCTTTAGTTTAAACTTTCATACATATTAATATTATTCAATACTTGGAATTACCTACCTACTGTAAACAGCTTTTCTGAGAACAAGCATGAGACAGTCACGAATGGAAGGAAATGTACGTACAAGGGGCATCACACAAACTACCACTTGTTGTGACACTGATGCAGACTGCAACAATTGCTCAATCAGTTGTTTGAGATTTTCCTGGCATTCAGCCAACATAAGTGGGGTGCCTACAGACAGCTTCAACAGGGTATCTACAATGATTAACACCACTCATTATTTTCAAAATTATAACAATTTTACATTCTACAGGAACTGATCTAGACTGCTTCTTTGTACTACTGTTTTTCAGTAAGTTTTGAAAATCCCTGACAACTTAAAATTTGAGGTAGACTTGTTATCAACAGAGATGTACTAAAAGCATGTATCAGAGACCACAAAAAGAAAGGAACACACATTTGGTTATAGACAAGTATATGGCTACCTACCAATAAAAGAGGAGAAAGAAAGGCCAATTAAAATTAAAACTAAAAGGCTGTTAGCTTATACTTTGGATTATATGACTGATTGCATTATAAACCTAGATTGTTGTTCCAAAAATAGCAAGAGGTAATCATCCATGTAAAATAAAATCATTTTTTGAACATGAACCTCCACCTTGTTAGGATATGTAGGGCAAAGAGGTGTTTTTACAACGCAACATGTTATGAACTCATTGTTTTCTCCCAACAATGCTGTATTTCTCGATTTGACAACCAAATACACAATCACTAAATTTATTTAATACTCCACCCCCTGTAACAATTTTATGTAAGCAAAATTAATTAAGAGTCCATTCCAGGAAATTGAAAGGCTACCTGTAGAGAATGCATGAGTGTTAGTAACGAGCTAGCTTGAAGGTTTATTTAACACATTAAAGAAATAAACTATTTTCAGTTATTATTGCAAGTTTTGGTAACTTATGTTAAAAAGATTTCTTCTTTCTGACTGTACTTTCAAAAAGACTAAAGTAGAACATCAAAAGAAGAGGAAAGTGCAATAACAAGAAAATAATTACACAGAAACAACTATTCTACTGAAAGGTCTATTCCTCATAAGATATCCATAATTATATTGTTCTTGGGTTTATCAAATTTATCTAATCATTTTTACCCGTTTTTATCAATAAATTGCTAAACCATAAAGCAAGGAAGATGACATTATCATTTTTCTATGATTAAACTAAGAACACCACAGAGTATTATACTAACACATGGAGGATTAACTAGAAAGTTTACTGTGAACAGAAATACAAGCACATGCATATGTATCTGCCATGTATAGATGGTGAAAATGATAAATCACACTACATAAATTGCACATAATAAAAAATGTATTGTTTTCAACTTACCAACATATTGAGTAACGTGAGGTCCAATGATTATATGGTTGCAAATGAGTTGAACAACTGTTGGTGCAACATCATAGTATTTTTTAACTAAGCGACACAGAATTAGGCGTCCATATTTCCACACTTGTCGACCATGGCCAAGCTTTTGACGACTATCACCTTTCAGCAAAGCAAAAGCAAGCTTCACAAAGCCCTCTCTAATCATCTCACGTTCTCGACCACTGAAAATAATTATTTTCAATTTGCCTCTTTCTTGGAAATCAATCAACCAATTGCATTATGATAACAATCTACTTTCAGATGAAAATGATTCAAAAAATTATCACATCATTGTGACCATTCAACCAATTCCATCTCATAAACAATTAAAATGGGAAACTAAATCATCATATTGAAAATGATAACCAATCATTTTTCATGATTTCATTCCACATCCAATATCATAAATATTCCTATAAATTAATTAAGAACCCTTTCAGGATTATTAATTATCTCATCATATTATTGATTAATTCCTAATCAAAGATTAGATATGAAATTTACTAAATAATAAATTATATTCTGAATCTCTGATTGTGATTGTGAAGTCTAAGTTGAACATTCATTCTAGTTATGAGTGAATACATAAAACTGACTGTCCAGTCACCAATGTAATTAATGAAACCTGTATTATGTGATTACTGTTGGTTCCATGAAAAAAGTGTTTTTTTAGAGGGTGTTTGCTTCATGGGAGGAATCTTTGGTTTATTATATAAAATAACCAATTATTATTGAATATTGGATGTTTAGAAAAGGGCTTATTTCACTGTATTGAACATAATTAAATGTTTTTAGTATAAGAGCTAGAATCACAACAAATGAAGTTTGATGAAATTTCAGTTTACCTTTTTTCCTAAATACCTTTTTAAAAGTATTTACTATCTTTCTAAATTAATTTAAGCAATATATCTTCTGCTTCCTTTGGTTAAAATAAACGTAGACATCATTTCCCGTTTTAGTATTCCCAATAGTTGCCTACTGATACCAAACCTGTCTTTTCTTGTCACACTCGATATGTCATTTGGGTAAGCATTACACATAATATCTTCGGAGCCTCAAAACTTGCTTCTCTTGCACTTTTTCATACAATTAAAAAAGCATTAAACGGTGGATCTTGGGTAAGTGCTGGGTTCAGATTCCAGAAGCAATCCCAACATTCTTTGGGAAACAAGTCGATAACTCTGACATTCCAACATTACAGTTCCAGATGTTCCTCTATGAAGGTAAGGTAGGAAAGGAACTGTTAATTCACAGAAATAATGATAGACTACTTCTATATCAACTGTCACATCAGAAGAAATGAAACTGAAATATATTGAGCAGCTGTGATACCATATTAAAGGTCACAAAATATTGTGTCACGATTCCCAAAATTTCCTTGCCCCCCAATTTCTTTGCGGATTGAAGTTCAGGCACAGGACACTTTGCACAAATGCCATTTAAATGTCCATTTTCATATTAACTACTCAAAATTCAGTTAACAATTTTTCTTGAAGTGGTCTCTCAAGAGTGTAAATGCTGGGTTGGTTGGAGGTCAGGGAGAGGGGTTGTTTATTACATGATTTACATAGAATGTATGGGATTCAATATCTGTTCCAAGAAAAAAATAGTCTTTAAGAGGGTAGTCGTTTATTAGGGGAGTGGTCTTTCAAAGGGGTTTCACTGTATTGTAATCCCAAAATTGTATACACTTTTTCATACGTTAATTACATAAAGTTACATATTGTACTATACAGGAATATGTCATGTAATGTATCAATAAGATTGTATTCATAGAATTTATTGAACAATTGAAATATTACTTTTTATAAAATTTAATAGTAAATTACTATGACTAAAGTGGAATCGTTTGTGCCCAACATTTTCTTTCATCTTATAGAAATTTCTGGCTTATTCAGGTTTGCAGTAAAATGTCAATTCAGAAGAAACTACTGTTCAAAGATGGAATAGGTTGTACGAGTATTTTATGTCACCTAAGAACTACATGTCAAAGAAACAAAACATCTTAGGAGAGTTAAAGAAAATGACATACAAAAATGCAACACAAAGTCTAAGAACTTCATAAAATGTAAATTAAATATCTTTTTCAATATTTGTAGGAGCAGATGAATTTGTCTGATGATTTTAGGCTTTGACTATTCACCTAGGTCCTCATGAATATTGTGGTAACCATCTATAAAAACATTTCTTTTAACCACTCACTCTTGATTTTGTCTTTGGTTTTAGTGTCATACACTTGAAGTTTCCTAACTTTTCAATTTCTTTATCAAAACCTTGACAGAAGGGTTTGTTTGTTTGCGATCTTCAGTTAGTTTAATTTTCTCAGCAAGAGTTAATGTTTTCAACTTACTAGCTGACATCATTAGATTAACACAATACCTGCAACTTGTCAAAATGAACAACAGTAAAAGTTTAGATTCACTGAACCCAAAGGACGCATTGCAAGAACTGTGGAAGGATTGTTCTTTGCCTCTCTTTCCTTCACATAGGCTTGCGAAGGTTAGTGCTGTTACAAATAAACAGTGGGTTTCACATGGGGGAAATACAAAAGACAAGGCTAGTCGAGAAAGTGAATGGACGCAGCACTTAGTGTCGCTTTGTGCAATGTCGCCACACTTACAGTTCAATATTTAATTTCAAAATCCTATTTGTTTTCCCTCTTATCCAGAAATTATTAACACAGTAATTATTAAAAACGCTTTTCTGTTTCAGACTGATCCAGTGCACTTTGCATGGGAAAATAGTCTGTTCTGAGATTTTTTCTGTCGAAGGACGGTTTCTGCCTCCCTTTATTCTTCTCTGCTTGTCTAACCGTCTCTGCCCGTCACTCTCCATCACTGACCCTCTCTGTCCCTGCCCCCCTCTGTCTCGGTCTCTCTGTATATCCAGATATATACAAAGGGCACTAGGAAAGTTTTGCAATAAGACGCAACCGTAAGTCACAGGAGGCTGCTTGTCGCAGGGTGCTGAGACATGTTCATACTTGCACACTAGCTGCTGTGCCGCATCTGCGGGTATAGTTCTTCGGTGGCAGTGGCAGTTTGAAGTGCTTGCTATGACTTTGTGGTCTCGAAGTGAGATTCGGGCAGTTTTGCAGTATAACTATGCACGTGGTTTAAACGTAGACCAGAGCTTTGAAGAAATGACTTTTGCACTCAGAGATGTTTGTCCCATCGTACTACAACATTCAGGTGGTTCCAAAGGAGAAATTTCAGTTTGGAGGATGCTGAGAGCGGGCTGGGGAGGTGTCGGGAGATGTTAAATAGGTTTTCTAGGGTCAATCTCGGTATGTAAACAGCATTGTGACAGGTGACGAGACTTGGCTGTACTATTATGATGTGCCTACCAAGACTCAAAACAAAGTTTGGATTTTTGAAGATGAGGAGACACCCGTCGCTGTCCAAAAATCACGATCTGTAAAGAAGGAAATGATAGCTGTATTTTTCAAATCGAGTGGAATTGTGGAGCGTGTTATTTTGGTGACACAGAAGACAGTCTCAGCTACGCTGAACAGTGCCTGCCAAAAGTCATTCAATTGTTGAAGAACCTGCGGCCAAATTCAACTCGGTTCCTCCGTCATGACAATGCTCCAGCTCACCATGCCAAAGCCTGCACGGAATATTTGACCACTACAGGACTGAAACTTCTTGAGCACCCTCCTTACATCCCAAACCTTGCTCCTTGTGACTTTGCACTGCTCCCGCAAGTGAAAATGAAGCTGAAAGGAATGCTGTTTTCCAGTGATGAGGACTTGAGACAACGAGTGTGCCTTGCTCCCTAGTGAAACTTGGCAGAACACGTTTAGGGATTGGTTTCGGGGGATGGAAAGGTGCATTGAATGTGGCAGATATTACTTTGAAAATATTAAATAAATAAAGTTGTATTGCAAAACTTTCCTAGTACCCTTTGTACATATATACACACACCGAGCAAGGTGGCTCAATGCATAGTGTCCTGGAAACGCAATCAGGAGGTCTGGGTTCGATGCCCGGAAATGCCTTTCTGACCAGGATTTTCGTGGTTTCCCTCGATCACAAGGTGAATGCTGGGATAGTTCCAAAATCCCACGAACACCTTTCTCTACCCCACCTAAAATCTGTCTCTGTCTCTTTCTGTCTGTTTGTCTTTCTCTTCCTCCCCGTCTCTCTCACTCACTTACGTGTACAGTCTGTCTGTATGTGTGTGTGTGCCTCTCTCCATCACTCTTTGTCTCCTTGTGTCTCAGTCTGTCGCATGTGCCCATCCGGTTCTTCAGGGCATCGCCTTGCGTCACATGGCAATCCAACAATGAAACCCGGGTGAAGCACAATTGAATCAAAATTGTATTAAAACGAAGCACAATTTTGTTCTGCAGTGCCATCTAGTAAAGTTACAACAAACTTAACAGCACGTAAACCTTTTGTGTGAAAAAACACATAGGCATTGTTCACATGTCAGAGTTTACTGCTTTTATATCCACTTTTATATATATAGATTAGTCCTATTAATGTAGTGAATGTTTTATCTCAGGAGGTTCTGCACTGGATGGTACTATATGTTGCCGACATCTCGGCTTGCAAGGTATTTCACCTCCAGGTATCTCCCACCAACAGAGCACTGCCCCAGTCAGGACAAGCTATAAGCTACTGACATGTGTTGTAGAGTAGTGTATGTGTGTAAAGGAAGAAGGGGGAACAAGGATGAGAAAGGGACAATCTCAGGCAATGCATGGGCTGCTTGTCAGGGTTCTTCCCCAGAATATACCTGACAGAGATTGGAGCAGTGGCAGTACATTCAGGCCCAGAAGGTCTGCAATGTGGGCAGGCCCACTTTTTAGGGGATATTTTTTATAACTCAAGGTACTAACACAACTTGTTTTACTGAACACGTTTCCAAAGGGGGCTTGGATAAATGTTTTATGGGTGGGTCCACACTCATTTTGTTACACTACTAGATTGGAGAAACCACATTACACAACTCTTGGACACAGACTCCCAGAGCAGCTGGTCTCTAAAAGTGTCAAATATCTACCAATGGCAGGACTCAAACCTAGGACTTCCCAGTCAGACAACAATAATGCTGGTTCTGAGCTAACTCAGCTGGTTTTGTTAGTGTGTGTTTGTTGTGATGTAATTGGAAATGTCAATACTAGCAAATGAAGTTTGTATTCCTTTATCAGTTCATTTTAAATCTTCAGACTGTGCACAGTCTCCCAACTTTTGCCATACACAGCAAGGCTGATATTGACAGCTAGATATCGAAAGCTAACTCTCTAAATAAATATATAAAGTAGCCGAAGATGACTTCTTTTATTTTTCATTTAATAATTCAACAATACTACATCAGAAATCCCACTTTTTTGTGTGCATTTATCGTGATTAAAGTTTTTAATGAATATTTTGATACATAAAATTGGAAGTTTGGTTTTTTATTTGAAATAACTTAAAAAATCATTTAAACATTTCAATGAATTTTGTGCTTTCTCACCAAGGTTTTTAAAGAAACCCGAGTGGCTTGTTATTTTGAAATGGGCACAATTTAGCTAACCTTTTTACAGTAATTGTTATTTTTTAAATGGAAAAAAGTCCTAGTGAACTGAGCACAACTATTAAATAAGTCATCATATTCAATAATTATTTCAGATCTTACCTGCTTTCAATTATTTGTGTGATAAGCCTTTCAAGATCACACCCAGAAGGAATGATATTCTGCAACCAGGCTGAATGTTCTTTTCGTTTGTCTTCTACCAAAACACGAGCTACAGCACTTCTTATGACATCAAATACCTGTCCAACAAGATCTTATTTCACAAAATTCTAATAGAGAAAAATATTTGAATTCATTCATTAAAAAAAAAAAAAAAAAAAAAAAAAAAAAAAAAAAAAAAAAAAAAAAAAGCTTTTAGTCTCTATACACAGGTTGGTTTTCTTATTTTATTCTTTATTTAATGTATTCTTCTATTGATAAAGAATGTCTACATGTAATTCATTCTCGCCTGCTTTTCTACACATTGGAGCAAGTAAATAACTGTTTGTGAAGGATAGCTCAGAGTAGTTTCTTTTTATGGCACGAGGGAATTTTCCTAATCCCAGTCATCCTAAACAGTTCCCTATATACCTTCAGCTTGCTAATTAAAACAAAATATTATCCAATTAAACTGATCAAAACAAAATGCATCCCAAATGAGCATTAAAACCTAATTACAATTCACCCTTTCAGTTTCTAAAGCACCTATAATTCTCACTTTGCTAACTTACGGCAGATCACAAACAAAGATTGAGAAAAATGATTTTACCGGATCTTCATAGCATGTCACAAATGATATTGACAAGAAGACTGTGAAGAAAAACGGATTAAGGCAGAACTCTGGAGCAGTGACTGTACTCTTCAAGCTATTAAGTAGATCTTTGATGTTGGCATTTCCAACATTAGCAGCCTGATTGATGTAGAATAAAATTGTGCTCTCTGCTCGCATCAATTCATGTCTTGATCCTGCAGAGAGAATTATTACGCACTATTAATTCACTGCATATTAAATCCTAGCCTCTTCTCCAACTTTTTTCCTATCAAATAATACAACTGCACAGAGAAAAAAATCCAAATTTTACAATTTTACATATCAAATATCAATACATTTACCAAGTACATCTTCTGAAATGAAATCGCCCGAGTTTGATTCTTGAGCTCCACAACGGATACGGTTATACAGACCACGTGTGAAATATTGTTGTAAATGAAGAAAAAGAGGGAGACCATGTTGCTGTTTGGTCAACAATAATAACTGATGAACCAATGGTGGCAGTGATGCAGGTTCTAGTTTCTCTATTCCTTGGCAAAGTTTGAACACAACCTGAAGATGTTCATCTGGAGCTAACTGCATATCACTGCCAAAAAGCATATGAACACATAACAAAATAAAAAAAAAAAATAAAAATGGAGAGAGAGAGGTAATTCATGTTCTATAAAAATATGGATTATAAACAACAGATATGAACTGATTCAATAAATGAAAGAATAATTCAATATGAACTGATTCAACTTGGGACCATACACAACTGGTTTGAGTTTAATAAATCTTAAAACATCTGAATCTTCACATTAATTTATGCAATATAGGATATTTATAAAATATGGTATCATTTAAATAAAAAAAATATGTTTCTTAATACATTAGATTAAACCACTGATATGACTGCAAATTCCATTTCAATCTTTGACCATTAACAGTTCTTCAGTACTGTTAATTTGTTGAATGAAAACAAAAGTTACCTATTTTTTGTAACATAAAATAATGATATACATGGCAAGATTCTTTGGAATTCATATCATTCTTATTTCTGGATCTGTCAACAAGTTAACAAGAACACACGGACATATTTATAGCAAATTAAAATGACATAATGCCACTGGCACTCACGTGAACATTCCTGCCACTGAAGTGATAATATTAGGATTCCAAGTTGTATTACACAGAGTATTGATTATTTGTCGTCTGTATTCACAGCCAGACATTTCAGTACCTGAAAGTTCCACTTTTGACAAATCACTTAATAAATTCAAAAGATTTGGCAATAACACCTTCCACCTGTAAAATGTTCCTTCAGCTAAAGGTTTATGCAAAACTGAAAAGCACAATATGCACATAAATGATGACTACACATATAAAATTACATTACAATACGTACGCCATGTATTTTTGTTCTGATTGCTGTATACTATCCACACACCACTGTGTGAGTCGAACCATTTGAGATGGACTAAGCCAAATCATTTCACAAGATAAACAATCTATAATTTTATTGGCTTCACTAGTACTCATATTCTTTTCTAGCATAGTTTCTAGTACGTGCAGAATCAACTGAAGAAGTTGAAAGAGAAAAAAGCATGTAGTGTTTTTAATTTTCATAGATCATTATAAGTGAAATAAAACTTACCTTTGGTCTTTTGACTTGTGCTGAACCAGTTTTTGGCAATCCCATCAATGTGTAATTGATTATTTGGAAAGCATCAATATGACCCAACTTACTACTAAATAATTTTTTTAGCTGTAAAAATATTACACAGATTTTACAATATATGAGAGAAATCCCATTCATGCAGCTGTACTCAAAGAAAAGTTCAGAAGCATAAATTTCTTCTGAATGGTACAATTTCTCATTAGTCAGATACCCAAGAATTCAAGGTTAGAACATACTCACCACCTTCAAATCTGTGTTGTCAAGAACAGACCCGAGCTTTTTAAAATCTCTCTCCTTCCCATGAGCAACGACTGCTTCTTCTAATTCCTTCATTACTGCGATAATTTGTCAAATCACATCCACATAATGCTGAACCTATCCTGTGAATAGTTCACCTTCCTGTTGGAACCTGTTCACTCTCAAGCGCAATCAAAAGTTTACCGCGCAATATCGAACACAGCAAAGCCAACTTCACTGAAACACTACAAGTATATCTAATTATGACAAAAATCAAAAGCTATTATTTAAAAAGTGTCCACTGAATATTTAGAAAGTAAACTTGTTTAAGTATGACTTTATGGGTGACTACTTCATATTTTATCGTCCTATTTCTATGTTCTAAAATCGAAGTTGCTCTTGCAATTAGACGTCGGTGGTTGGTATTCATTGTAGTTATGAGAATGTAAATCCAGCGTAATGTTTAATTTTAGTTATTTCGAGACTGTAGAAGCCTTTACTTTAATATAAATTAAAAACAATAATAATTTCTGGACACATATATTGACTTATCTACTATTAAGGTGGTAAAATATTAACGGGATACTTTGCGAGAATCAGCCTTTGGGGAGGGTGAATAGTTGCCATAACAGCCAGCGGCTGAGTCAGTTAGTGCAGTGCGAAGTGGCACCATCGCCACGGGAGGATCAAGTTTTGTGGGTGCAATTATTGGGTAAGTCAAAAGTTTTATTGGAGAGAAGCATATTTTGGAATTTTTATTCAAGTTGCTGAATGAAGTGAACTACTTTAATTATAATTCGGAGGTCGAATTCACTTCGGCTTGACAAACAGTGCCAGGGGTGTGTCACTTGCCGTATAGAGCGGGTGCATTACCTCGTCTGCTCAGGTGCTTGCCTGGAGTAACACAGAGTGTGCCAGTTAATAGGTGCTTCAGTATTTTACAGCCTATGCAAGTTAAAGTATCTTTGTGCTTTTATCCAGCTTCACTACGATTGATTCGAAAATTCTTTTTTTCGGCGCCATTTGCAAGCATGCCGCACAGCGGTGGAGGTGGAATCGATGGATTTGTAATAACTGCTGTGATATCTGCGTTGCGGGCGACGTGAGGTACATTTGGATACGGTGCGATTACTCCGACGTGAAGTTTGTGCAGTGAATCTCTTTGGGGAGGTGTTTCTTTCAGAAGCTTTGAATCCCGTTGGAGCTATTCCCCCTCTGCCGGCTTTTACCGTGTGTAGGTTTACTCCCTGCGTGTGTGTCCAGTGCACCAGAGTCCGCCGGGCATTGCCGCAGTCCTGACGGGCGAGACTGTCAGTGTTGGTAGTGGTCAAAGCTGAGTGAGCGTCCAGTGCCAGATATATCAATCAGCAATAGTGCTTGCAGTGGTGAATGGCGTTTCATTCAAACAATTCAAGGAGGTGGTGCATACAATTTTGTTCATCCTAAGTGAAATCATACTTGTCGCATTTACGCCAAATATCTACCATCTAAATATTTCCCAGGTTAGTTACGCTTATTTTCATATTTTGGGATTCTCCGTAGTGCATTGTCCGAACTGCGATCAGTCCTGCCCTGAGAAAAATTACGACTGCTGGTTGTCTAATGCAACCGTGTCGTAATAGTGAGACTTTCCCCATTGTCATTTGCTTCGCGATGTTCTGGTTGTAGGCATGACCAAGGTGAGGTTCACGCGGTGTGAATTGTCTGCACAGGGCGTTCGCATGGACAACAGTTTCGGAGGACAGGTGGGCAAGGCAGCATTGTTCCTTGGTCTTTGACTAGTGGGCGTAGATGCTTCTGGTTGGGCAGGGCGGGGACGTTGCAGAGGCCGTCAAGGCGTTCCCATCTCCGGCCATTTGACTGAAAGATGCGTTCCCAGAAAATCGAATTTCACCAGTTATGAACCTGTCCAATTTATAGTTATACAACTTTTGTTTAAACGAGTATGCATTACTAGTACGCGATAATGAGTAGCAGTGAGTCATTTGGTCAATGACCGCACCCAAATACCGGTTTTCTTCGATAATGAGAAGCTCCATATTCTACCACCTTTTTTATCTCTCGAATTCGCCAGCATCTCTTACAGCGTTGGAGGAAACTGGTTGTAAATTATTAAGTGCACACCAAATTAGATACCTGAAGATGTAGAGAATTAGGATTTGCTATTTCTTTCACAGTCAACGAAATTCTGATCTTTTACATCCATTACAATATCTGATCCTTTACATTCAACCCAATACAATACGACGGTCCTGAAACAAGCCACAGGGCGAATCATTAATATCAATAAATCTGAAAGTTCACGGATTTTGTGTATGGTTTTCAACTGTTTAACAATACATGTTTATAAAAGATAACAACGCTGACTTCAGCTTCGTAAAGTCTTGTCCGAAGGAAGGCAATTCGTTTACTCATTCGATTTATTTTACTAGCATAAAAGGAACATGGTTACTTCAAGGGACGTCTGTTCTCGTAATTTCCAATTATGAACATTTTTTTAAATATATGGGCAGACCTCATTTCTTTGCAGCAATTTTGCTTTCTTATTTTTATACAGTTAGATGCATGTCATTTTCCAACCAAAATAAGCCGCTCGCAGGGTTTCCCTTGAGGTGGGCGTGGAAGTGTGACAAGTGAAAGGACCAAAGTGCATCGCCCGATGCCGGTGAAACCAGTTGCAGCCGCAGCAGCTGCGGGCGGCACGGAGGGATAATCTCGGGAAGCCGTTTATGGGAGGGCTGTTTGTCGGAGGCTCAGCCAACGCCCCACTGACAACCGGAGCGGCAGTCCCTGTTTTCGATACAAAAAGCTTCCCCGGCGGCGGGTCCGGGGTCTCTGGTACCGCGTGTTCTGAGCTGGGCGGGGCCCGCTCGCCCGCGTGGAACGTGTCCACCCGCCCCCTCGGGAGATTACTTGCACAGGACGACTTCCCTTGCGCAGAACGAGCAGGGGTGGATTAGTGCAGAAAGTGTGCAATAACGTGGTGAGGGCCCCAGCTGAATAATTTTTTGAAAACAAAATTGTATGTTAACCTCCCGTTTTGTTAATGTTTAATTTAAGAAGTTAATTTTTGTATCTTCTAATTTTGATAAGATTTATGTTCAGTGTTGTAGTAATAATAATAATAAATCATAATAAGGGGCCGAGTTTTGCTTAGGGTCATCTATAATATCAGACAGGACCTTAGAACGTGCCCTGCTGATTGGTAGCCGTATGTTTTTATAAGCCTCTTTTTTGAGGCTACTGAAGAAATAAATAAACCGGGTATGTCCCATTTTATATTGCCGAACAAAATTATAATCATTGCAGTAATTCTAAATTTGTTTTCAAGACTGTACGTGAGGGCATTCTAATCAGTAAACGCCAAACTGAACGTAGAGAAATTTTCTTAAAGGAAATTCTCTGAAAAGAATTTTGTAATTAGTATCCTGTTTGTTCTGTTAAAATGTTTTTATCTGTTATCTCTTGCGTATAGTGTTCAGGTTTTGCGTTATCCATAAGTGTTTTTGTTTTCTGACAATTTCACATGTTATTCACCTTGGATATGCGAAGCGATAATACAGAAATTATACTATGGAATACACATGTACTCATAGGACATTTTTGGACTGAATGTTCTGCTTCTGAACAAAACATTTATTAATAAGATGTTTAAACAAATTGTATTGCACAAACGTGTTTTATAGAAGACGAATAAGATATAATTTCCAATTCAACACAAAAAAGTTTAAAGTTCTGCCTTTGATGGTTTAAAAAACGTTATTGAAAAGAGTGAGAGTGCATTATCAAGATTACAAATCAGCGGTTTTCAGTCGTGCGTCTTTTCTCTTGATTCATCACTCCGCGTAAAAATGATTTCAATTTTTTTTTTTTTCATCTCCGAGAATGCTTGATGGCCTGTGATGGTAAGAAAGGTTCCAAACCTTCTGAAGAACATACGTGAACTTCGACCCGTCAATTCTCGTTCTTGGACATCGTAAGGAGTTATTTCTTACTCCTAGTTTTTGTTCAGTTACTTCAACAAATTGTTCCGGGCTAACGTATATTAAGTCTTTGCTTTTGCCTCTTCGTTGCCAGTGATTTCTAATCCATTTTGGAACTAGCATGTTTACATCTTATTATCAAATACGGCGAAATCGCATACTTTTTTCCACCTAGGAGTTGAAAATTAGATCTGTATTGGTCTTGTGTTAAAGAAAATCTCGTAAACGCGCTTTAAACTGCGGTAATTCGTGTCGTATTATATTTAGTACCGTCACCATCTCTCAATTCTGAAGTCTTATTGTAGAGAGCCGTTGACATTGCCTTCCACAATAACTTAATATTTTGATTGCGAGCTAAAAGTTACTCACAAAGCGCACATAAGTTTCAAAACATTGTTCAGAATGTTCAAATCTCTCACGTGTGTTAATACTTTTTAAAACCGGAGAGAGAAGAGCTAATTATTGCTGAAAATCGTGGTTTGGAATTACATTTTTAAAAAGGAGTTCCGTTCAATTGCCATCTTCCTTTCATCGCTGCCTCGACAATATTTCTGTTTCCGTTCCATTTCCCGTCCAACAATGTACTGAGTGCGAGCATTTGAAGCGCGACTGAGGCTGCGGCGGCCGCCGGAGCGCAGCAGCACTGCGCCGGGGTCGCCCTCTGCCTCTCCCCGCTCCCCCCGTGTTGACTCGCTGCCCGGCCGATGAGGTCATCGGTGAAAGCTGCCTCTGCACGATCGCCCGTCGGCCGTTGGGCGCTCGCCCGGGCTCGGGTTGCAACGTCGCTCGCGCCGCCCGCGCCGCCCCTCACCCCCCGCTCGGCCCCGCTTGGCCCCGCTCCTCCCCGCGCCGGGCGGGCCGTCGCTTCCTGGCCGCCCCGCGTCGCTCCTCGGCGCCCCGCCGCCCACGCGTTGCTGCGGTCTGCACCTCCCGCCCCACCCCTCTCCGCCGCTGCGCCTTGCACGCCATCCCGTCCGCATTGCCATCGACTGCATGCTCCCCGCCCCGCACCCGGACCTTGCCAGGCCGGCAGGCGCTGAATTGTTTTAAAAGTTGAAACAACCATGCTTTTCCAAAGGGTGGTAGATACATTTTTGTCATCTAGTAAATTGTGTTGGGATTTGAACATGACAAATAAACTATTTAAATGCAGAGAACTGAAAATCTTTGAAAAACAAATCTTTTTTGCAGGAATCTGTTTAATGTTAATTCATCTTGAAACTCACATTTATGGCTTAACTCTTTCACCGATTGTGTAGTTGTTCAGGAATGTTAGAATTTTGTTCTAATTTTGTTCAGGAGTCTTTTCATCTTCATCTAATTTCGTTGCTACGACGATTAAAACGAACGTGTGCCTTTGGCATTTGCATTGTTTATGTTTAGTATAGTGATGGGAGTTTTGTTTTAAAATGTCTGTCAAAGAAAAAGATCGAACATGCATACTATAATATAAACATTCTAATATAATACTGTCCTTATAACAAATGAGACTATCAACACTCGTACATATTCTACGACGATTCTGTAGAGTTAGTATTTTAGGGTCGTGATGGATGTGGTGTAACTTCCCCCTCCGAAGCAAGTCGTAATTCGAGGTTTCGTTTGTCTCCCGAAGAATGAATTTAATATGAATTATTCATCATCCTTCAACAGGAACGAGGTCCCTTCTGCGCAGTGAGCTCGCTCCCAATACAAATCGAACCGCTTCCCAGCGTGGACCAGCCCCAGG